GCCGCACATCTTTCACCATCAAGCCTTGATCCAAGAAACCTTCACAAACAAAAGAAACATAAAGAATAAAATGAAAGTTGCTGTCTCAAATGGCAATTGTATTAGGTGCTTATCTAACATTTTTGTGTAGTAATGGAAATTTGAGTTTGATTTCTCTGATTTTATTTTGTCAGTACCTGTGTGGAGGCGAACAGCAATATCCAGGATATAGACTCCATCACAGACATAGTCCAGCACCAGCCACACTAATACATTCCTCATCTGGAGATCATCAAAACAGGCCCTAAAGAAACATACAAACACTCAAGCAGATGAAGAAAAACAACATCAACATCCTGTGCTGAATAAATGATTAAGCACCAGCAACAAATATTGTCTTGAAGAAAAATGGTGCCCCCTTTTGGCCAAAAAATTGACATAGTAATAGAAGTAGCACTTGATGTTTTTGTAGTAATAGCAGTTACTTTACCAATAGTAGTCCATTGCCCTTTTCATATACAAAGTCAAACATTTTTCCCACAAAGAAACTGATGACAGCATGCGTGTCAGGGGAAACAGATAGCTAGATCCGTCTCCAACAAGCAGTGAAAAGGAGTGAAGTACAAGGAAACTGGACATTCCAGATTGAAGAGGAAAAAGATGTGGGGAAAAAAAGCTTTTGTGTTCCATTAGCCTGCATTTATTGATTTTCTTACCACTTGGTGGCCATGTAAACACAACAAACATATTGTAAATGTAACAGTGGCCTATGTACACATTCTGCAGATACCCATAATTCATTCAGAGCACATTCGGAGTCATGTATGGCAAATGTAAGTATGATATTCACGCTCCTTTTGCTCTGTTTAAGTCTCCATCAACCCCTTAGAAATATCTACGGCTCTTTGGCAGCTAAATGCTCCACAGTGTTCAGTTCAGTTCAGTTCAATAAAATTATTGATTAGTGCAGCTTAAAAAATAAGCATGTTTTGTTGACACTGGCAGGTGATTCAGCAATGTCTCCCAGGCCCAAATATTGAATTTCTGGCTCTAGAAAAATGGTGAGTGGTAAATCTAATGCTATGTATGTCTGAACACTTATTCAGACAGTCATACCGTATGAGTGACATCCCAATCATGGTGCCCATTTTTCTTTCTACAGTGTTGCAGCTGTCGTGGCTGTTACATCCATGGTAGAAGTATGGAGTCCATAGTGGTGTAAGAGGTAGTACTAGAACTGCCAATAGTACTGTTAGTCACAACAATATTTACCAACCTGACAACTAGTAGAGTCCAGTTATAGAAAACTGCAGCACCAATCACCATCAGCCAGTGGTAGTATGCATCATCAGATGGGGATAAGACCACGATGTTACACTTCCTTCTCCTGACAGACAGGGACAAAAAGACAGAAAGACACAGAGATTTACTGTATATGCAAATGTCAGATGACATTTTAATGTTTGTGTTTTGTCTGAATTTTTTCTTTTCTTACGTGCGTCTGGTTCGTCTGATTTCATTATCTGCATCTGAGCCAGTGTGGCTGTGGCTAAATCTGCTGGGTGGAGCCTGTATGTCCATGTGGGCAGGGCCTCTGAAACGCTCCAAGAAGGAATCTGGTCGCTCCGTCTCTTCAGCCAAACTCTTCTGAGCCCATTCTCTCAGAGTCATCACCATACTAACTAACCTGAAGACAAGTGGGCAGACAAAAAGCACATTATAATGTCTTCTACTGTTGACTATTATATTGACTCTAAGATCCAAAAACTTCAGAAGAGCAGGCAACTACAGTTAACATAATCACTCTCTGGAAATAAATTGATGTGAATAAATACTTCTGAAATACAGCTGTCATACCTAGATAGAGCACCTCGTCCACGAAAAGAATTCTGGGAATTAATATCCCTCCTGTCAATGGCTGCCATTCTCTGGAGCTCTGAAGAAGTGTCATCACACATCGACTGTCCTCTACAAACCACATAAATATCGAAAGAAAAATTCAGTGATATGTACAACAGCTCTAAACTAATTTACAGCGGAAGGCGTCAACATTCTTCATCAGATTATTTGAAGTAAAACTGGGACTGAACATACATAAGAAGACAATAAGAAAAACATTCATTTACACATCGAGCAGGCACTGACTATTAGCATTGATTTGGCACATACACCGTAAGTCTAATAAACTCTTTTAGTTGTTAGTTTACACCAGTCCATGAGAGAAATATCTGGCTTCCTAGCTCCTAAATGCTCAATTAGCTTGTTGATAGCTTTGTCTATCTGGTACTGGGTTGGGAGTATACAGTGGGTTTATATGAGGTTTTTCACTGAAAACAGCTGCTTGTGGCTGCTGGGTTTGATGCAAGCTGTGAGACTGAACCAAAACATTAAAGTTGCAGGACATAAAACCAAAACTATAAGCTGAAGGACACTAAAAGATCAGCAGCCCTGAGTGGAAGTGCAAAGTAAGTTGATATTTCTCAAGTGACACCTCTCACATGATATGTCATCATTTTTTTCAGTTGACGATGTAAAACTATTGATTGATGCATCTTTAAAAATATATACATATATTATGTGCCTTTGTCAACCGTAACAAACTACATGAAAACTATAATCTTCTCATATGAAAAGGCACAATACAAAACGTAAAAGATTGAGCCTCATGCAAATTCACCCAAAGCCCTCTTTCTTTAATGATGATTGGCTGTTTGGGTCACAGAGATTACAGACAGGCCAGTATGTAATCAGTGCTCTAATGATCTATGATTAATTAAAGGTTCAAACTAGTTTATTCTTGTTATGTTTTTATAAAGCTTTAATTTTCATAAGATGTGTTCAAGTATTTTAATTTCACAATTACGTAACATTATGTAGAATACAGTACACCAGCATTGTGTGTGTGTGTGTGTGTGTGTGTGTGTGTGTGTGTGTGTGTGTGTGTGTGTGTGTGTGTGTGTGTTTGTGTACCTGCTGAGTGTGCTGTCAGCCCGGTCACTCTCCTCCTCTGTCCATGTTTTCACAGACAGCCTGTGTGAATCCTGCACTTGACCCGTCATACTGCATGCACACACACACACACACACACACACACACACACACACACACACACACACAGTCAGACAAACACACACATACACCAACATACCCAATTTAAGATAAACACACAGTCATAAACTACAATAACACACACACTTATACACACAATGTAATCTACCACACACACTCACAGTAAAGAGATGTGAGCCTCATGCAGACACACACATACACACACACACACACACACACACACACAACTCACTAACTCACTAACCAGCACACACACATGCAATGATAGACCCACAGTCAGAAAAGGAAGGTCTTCCAATACGAGGTCACCCTGTATGAGGCATCACCACGGAAACCAGATGGCATGGCAACAAGCATTGAGCAGTAATGACAACAGATCATCTGAGAGAGCGGCAGAAAGATAGACATGATAAGCTCAAAGTCAACAAACCTGATAAATTTGCTGATGCCTCAATTCAGATTATCAATCCAATTCAGTTCACGTCTTCAGTTCAGTTGCATCCTATCTATCACAAAGGACTGACAAATGCTCATATGAAGGGATGGATGGATGGATGGATGGATTGATGGAGTGAACAAATGTGACCGATAAAAGGCACGATCACATGGTACCCGACAAAAGCGTCGTTTAAATTGCAAATTGTGTGTGTGTGCGTGTTCCTTTTCACCAGCAAGCTCATCTTAATTCAAGAACCTTGTTTGAAGTGGCCTCTGAACTCCAAGTGTGTCTTTGTGTGCATATATTCTCCTGATTACTGAGAGACAAGTGTTTTCATCCACACACCTGCACATGTGAACTGAGACGTAATTTTATTTCACCTTTATTCAGAAATGGATTTTAATCCAAAATGCCATTCAGTATACTCATTCTGAATTTACCAAAATGAAACACAATTTACTTCAAATTCTGGTGTACACACGCGCACACACACACACACACACGCACACACACACACACACACACACACACACACACACACACACATTACACACACCACACACACACACGATGAAATCATGTGCAGGGTAATATTAAGCATTTTTTGGGGATTTAATGTCACAGGATTAGTTGAATTAGAGCCAGGACACATCCAGAAAGCTCATCAACCACCTCTCAACACTGATTACAACTATCCATACTATTATCATGATGTTCTATTAACCATACTCTTGACATCGCAGCCTCTCAGCAGCTGACCTGTATGCACTTACCGTTACATAATGAATCAATGCAATAAACAATGTTTTTACATGTGAAAGCTGTTGTTCCTAGTGACAAAGGAAGCTCTGTACAAAGGAGATGTGTTGTTCACCAAATACTGATTTGTTTCTGATCCACAACCCCCCCCCCCAACCCAAATAAATAAAAAAAAAAAAGCACAACAGTAGCCCAAGTCATGTCAAATCCACCATTCAGTTCCTGATAAATGTTTTTTTGCAAAATAAAACTGCACATTTTAAAGTGGCCTTTTATTGTGACCAGCCCTAGGCACACCTGAGCAATAATCATGCTGTGTAATCAACACCTTGATATGCCACACCTGTGTCAGGTGTGCAGATTATCATGGCAAAGGAGAAACGCTCTGTTGGTGGATTTAAATACATTTGTGAAGAAAGTTTGAGAGAAAGAAGCCTTTTGTGAGTTTGGAAAGAGTCTTTACATCTTTAAATTCAACTCATGAATAATGGGAGCAAAAACAAAAATGTCGCATTTATATTTTGGTTCAGTGTAGAATTCTTAATTAGCAATTTTAATGATCTTTTTTTTTTAATTTGAGTTTCTAATTGAAATGCAAATGAAATCACTTTATACATTTGTTCTATTTCCCAATTCATTAATCAAATTCCAAAATTAAATGTTAATGGTCTTTAGTGAATCCAGTGGCACACTCAGGACTCTATCTAGGACCTGAGAATAATGAAAGCAAACAGATATCAAAAATCAGACAGTATATGGAAAAATCCTTTTATTCATTATTGATTGTACACACTGGATGTTGAAGGTATTGCTGGCATGTAAAGCAATATTTTCTGCCCACAGTGGCAGTTCAAAGGACCAGTACAAATAAACAGCTGATTGGAAAGTGCTTTACTGAGAGACAATTTGAGTAAAATATGACTATGGAACCTTATCATCAGCAGCAACAAACCTGATAACTTTTAAACACATATACAACTGCAGCATTCAAACAGGATTTTATATTTTAGATCTAAACAGGACTGGAAATCTGTCTCAGGTTGTTTCTTACAACTGAACTCATGTGTTAATCACAGCTGTTTAATCAGCTAGTCATTAAATTCAGATGTGTTCCTGAATAGTCGGAATCAGGCATCATTTTGATGATAGAGGGGAAAGCAGTGCACTGACTAAAGGAGACATCTTTTTTTTCACAACACAGGCATACATCGCCCTCTGTGTTGCTGAGGTTACATGTAAGCAGTAGCAGCTTTGACATGTTAAATTTCAGATAAACTGCTGCATAGACCAACAAAAAACCTTTGTTTTCTATTCCTCTGTACTTATCCATTTTAGGTTATTATTAAGGTTGGGTTTTGGTTTACGTTAGGGATCTTCAGGTGCAAATTAATGATATTTTGAGGAATTCTTATTAAGGATTTAAAATCCCAGATGTGTGGTTAAAAGGTGGATATTTTAATGGTTTATAATATATTAAGGGAATTTTCATTTCTTAATTTATAGGTAACCCTTAATTTGTACCTTAAAGGCACCTTAACTTTTTTACGTATACAATTAACGTTAAGATGCAAATTTAGGTTTTTTTAATTCTATAATTGGGGTCAATTAATAGATTCATTTATTACATTAATGGGTTTTAATGGATTATCTACATGGTACATACACTGTGATAAGTTTAAGGAGTAAAAAACACACGTTTACCATTTACCAAACAGCATGAAATGTTAACCAAGATTGAAAAATGAAGACCTTTGAGATTGAAATTAAAAGAAGGTTTTCATGTTATTTGGTCAATTAAATATATTTACCCCTTAAAATGCCTTTAAAGATAATCCATTAAAAATACTTAAACTTGTGCCTTAAAAAGTACAAATATATTACATCCATCAATCTATCCGATCATCCCCTTAATACCTTAATTACATCAGCATTAATGGATAAGTTACTGATCTTTAAAGGTAGAAAGCATTAAGGTATTCAGTTGTACAGTAACTGCCTATAATCTAGCACAGCTTTGGTCGTATATAAAAAAAAGGCCAAAAGGTATTCAGTACAGAGTATTATGGCTTCAGTACAATAAATGCTCATACTGTGAACAGGCTGGCACATCAGGAAGATACAACAGAGCTTTGAGGCAGGGACACATGGGAGACCTGGAGGCAACGCAGCTGTAAAAATGTCAAGTATGTTGGAAAAAATACAGGAATGTAAAAGTAAGAAAAATGAAATGCTGAGAAAAAAGTAGAAAAATCACTACCATGAACTTTTGCTTTCAACAGGGCTGAAAGATGTGAAGTGATCTTTGTCTTTAAATGTTTCCCATGTATCACAGCCCTTACATTTAAAGAAACAAAACGTTTCCTCGTTTATTCAGGAAGGAGCCTATCCCAGAATACACTGGGCACAACCTGAACTAGACAAACACATTCACACTTATATTTATATCTGTGGGTATTTTGGTAAATTGAGTGTCTCTAAATGCGACTCTGCTAATCCGCCGTACTGTGCACAAACTAATCTGAGATCAAGAAAAAAAAAAAAAAACCTAAATATTTTTCATGTAGCTGTTGGAGAAGTCCCACTTTACTGCAAACTGTCTGACCATTCAGCAAATTCATATTCCCTTTGAGCACTCAGAGGATCGTGGCTGTTTGTGTCAGTGTACACAAATGTCCATTAATGCAGAATAGATGAGTAAAGTGGCACTTCCATTTTGGCTAATGCAGAATAATCACTTAAAAGAACAAGACAATATATCTATGTTCACCCCCTTCATTCAAATAGGCAGACAGTCAGTCAGTACTTGTGTGTATGTGTGTGTGTTTGTGTGTGTGTGTGTGTGTGTGTGTGTGTGGATGTGTGTCTCCTTTAAGCCCTCTTCATGCCTCTTCCCATCAGGCAGGCAAAGATGGTCATCACCATTTTGGGGTTGATCTCCACCAAGTCCTCAGGCAGGGCGTAGACCTTCGCTCCGATCTTCCTCGCCATGGAAATGGCATACCTGGTGCAGGATAAGGTTCAGTTAGGATCACTATGGCAACGTAATAGATCTATGACACAACATCTAGTTTCTCATTATGTAGCCTATACATTGATTTCTGTTTGACATTTTCTTCGATCATCATTGACTTGGCTATATCGCTTTTGTCTTTGAAAGTTGCAGTGAATCACGGTTGTAATCTAAGGAGTAATGCTTGTGTAGCAGTGAGCTTGAGCTTGGCTACCTGAAGTAGCTCATAGTATGCTTCAGCTTCAGTTTTAGACACAAATACAATGACGTACTATAACCCAGCAGCTACAAGTAAAGACACAGTCATAGAGAAGCAGGAGGTTCATTACTTGGCGTTGTTCAGTTTGTCTTCGTCTGACAGCTCTCCTTTTGTAACCAGCTCAAAGTTCACACTGTTTGGCTGGATGGCATCAATCAGCTCCAGAACTGGAAGACTGGTACCTATTGCTTTGTCCTTAAATAGATTGATACACACACACACACACACATCACACATGTATACACTGCAGCATTCCGCAACTGCCATTTACCTGTAGTAATAACAGAAAAGTGCTCACAAAGTGAAACTCTCTTACCTTAAAGCTTTTGATGGATGAACTCTTGCCGGCCTCAGCCAAAGTCTTGTTGACCCATGAAACTATCAAATCATCTCCCGCAACTTCTCCATGTCCAAGGTCTTCAAGAACATTTAAAGTGTACCTGCATGTAGACGTTAAGACCAAATGTAAGAACATCAACCATTAAATCACATCAAATTGTATATGTACCTTTTGACCGCAACACCTGTCTGTAATCACTGTCAACAACTGAAGCTCTGTTGTGATCCCCCGTCGCCTCTGAGTCACAATACTGTTGTAATCATTTCCAAATTAAATTAATACTGCATTTCCTACAAACCCTTTGTGTTTTCAGTCACACAGGGGACTGTTGCTTCTTTCACAATGAACATGTTGGAAGTGATGTGACGTTGCCATGAACTATTACAGCACCCCCTGCCTGCGCCTGTGCTGCATAGCAACATCCAGTCTGAAAGCCAGTGGATGCTGACTCTCTCTCCAGTCGTGTTTTCCTTTGTTTGTGGTGATTTTTCAAAAAGACCACGTAATAAATGAAAGCTTGACTATTTAGAGTAAATCACCTCCTCATCAGCTGCCACACCAGTGCCAGGGTTAGAGTTGCGTTTCCGTCGTAGAGGTCCTGTCCACCGATTCCCACCAGAGAGAAACCTGCTTTATTCTTACCCAGCTCCACAGCGTAGTTACAGTTTTCTATCTGTCGGACACACACACACACACACACACACACACACGCAAAGTTAGTATGTTTTGAGGCCCAGATTTCGAGAACGAAACAGGTATGAACAGATATATGTTCATCATAGCTCCTATATATAGTGTGTAGTATTACAGAATACAAGCTGTGTCCCAATTCAGAGGCCACATCCTTCAGAGGAAGCATTTGGTGACTGATATGTCCAGCCTTCTTTTCCTGGGCCACTAAGGCTCCAACTGTTAGTAACCTATCCCAAGATTCATTGTGTAATGAAAGCAAACAACACTGACAGAGAGCCTGAGGATTACACCTTTAATGTAAGTATTGGGTTTCAGTTCAGTGGAACAGTAAATGGTACAACTGTTAAAAAACCAAGGGCCTTAAAACCTCAAGTTTTCGTGAGAAAAAAATGATGTGTTGTCAAGGTTGCTAGGCAACAGGAGTCGCTGTAACAATAGTAACTGTAGCCCCACTGTATGATGCCTATGAACAGGCATAATGTATATGTACATATGTATATGAAAAATGCAGCTTTGTGTCAAATGAAGTCATTTTCTTATTAAAGTCTTTTCAATATTTGAGAACAGACTCATTTTTATTTATTTAAATTCTTACTTGTGCTTTTCAGGTTGAAAACCTGTTCTGTCAAGAATACATCATTTGGAAAGCAGTTTGCATATTTACCTTTTTTAAATGTCCTCCTCCGATCCCTTTGAATGGAGGGAGGTTGACTCTGTTGTCCCAGTCCACTGGCACCTTAATCCTTTCATACAGCTGGAGAATCACCATGGCGTCCTGCAGATCACTGTATTAACACACATGTGATCTATGTGAATTCTGCATCAACGTGGCACTAAATAGTGGAAATTAAAACTGTCACACATAACGATACTGACCCGTAGATGTGGTGAACATGTGGACTGACTCCGAGAGAGTTCATCCAGTTCCTGAAAGTTCTCTCCTCTCTGGTCTCACCTTGAGAGAGACAAAAAGAGAGAGTGATTTCTCACAGAAACAAGGACCAGGAGGTTTTCTACTTGTGGTTAAAGCTACCTCCTACATGTCAGGACATGGGTGAAGGTCTGTGTGACAAAAGGAACTATTCATCCATCCTTACTCTCCAGATTCCATTCTTGGTTCTCGGGTTTGGTGAGAGCCGGGTGTTTGTTGAACAGCGTGGCCACGAAGGCCATGTTGAGCTTTGCGTTTCCACACACGACATCAGTAGCGGTTACAAACTGTCGGCAGCCGAGGCGATCGGCCTGTTTGAGCATACACTCGGCTCTCTTCGTGAGATCCTTTTCCTGGTAAGACACGCACACACACACGTTTGGGATTCATTCCAATATCATAAATAACACTGCAAAACATGTGTGACGACAAATTCGAATTCTCTGAAGCATCTATGTTGGGTGAACTGAGAAATCACAGGTTCACTGAGAGATCGTCCTCATTTCCATGTTGTCAGTCTCACTGCTACTCTGAACAAATACATGTTACTATGACTGAAGAGACAAAGAAAAGAACGACAGAAAATCAAACTATAAACCAAAAAAATGCCCCCAAAAAAATGCCAATATCTGGCATGTGATTGGCTGAGTTTCATAAGCAGGTTACTGGAATGAAAGAAAACATTTTCTTAAAGACACCAATGAGATTTGCCAAGATGATGAGCACATGAGGTTCCTAGAAGATTAAACTGGCATTTTACTAAGACAATGCTTGTATGTTTTGCTATTTTACAGTGTACTAGTGATGCACAGATCGCAGTTACATCCACGGACACTGTGTTTTCTCCATAAACAGCGGACAGGTTGCAGGTGGGTGAAATAATATAAAACATATGAGGAAAATATTCATTCAATTCTCTAAAATGTGAACAGATTATATGCGTCCTTTTTTTGGTCAGGCATGAATTGGACTCTGTTTGGATTGCTGAACTTGTTATGATTCATTATTTATATTGGGCAGCAGCCAAATGTGAGTTCAGCCTATTGTGGAGATGCCTGTTACCATTTTCATTTTACCAAAAAGGGAGAACTTTCAGTTTAAATAAATGTTTCTGTATTTAAAATCATCCTACTTCCATGTGATATATCACCACATCACACATAATATTCCACTGAGAAAATAATAGCAACGTGATCTCTAAATCGTGGAAAATAATTTGTTTGGGTGGGTGGCAGGTGGATGATTTATGCATACATGCAGATCTGGATGATTTCATAGCCATCCACGCATCACTACAGTGTACAGCTTGTTCCATTGTATGAAAAATACTAGAGGGAGAAAGAGGAACAAGATTCAAATCCTGCTTACAATAATACCCTACAGGATGGTATCGTGATCCTAATATAGTCCTACAGGAAGCAGGAAGAAGGTCAACAGGAAAGTCAGCTTCCATTCAGCCTCCAACAGCCAAATGAAAAGCACTGAGTGAGTCGACAGGTGCTCAGTTTCACTGACGTGCCAGTGTATGCAGTTCTGTAGATTAAGTGAGGCCCTGATTCATTACTGATTTAAACTGTAACGTCTGCCTAAAGGTGAGCATTGCATTTGCATGCTGCCTTACAATAAAAAGTTTAATATTCTAACTGCAATAGCGGCTTCATCAACTCACGTATAGACCAGTCATATCGATGTCAACCCGAGGAACGTCCTCTTTGCTGCCGTCTGGAGCGATCTGCTCGAGCAGGTGGAAATACGCCTTGGAGTCCTGCACAGAGACAGAGATACACAAGCACACACACATGAGTGAACCTACATGAAAGTATTTTCAAACACCAAAACCACACTGATCATGACTCCCCACCACAAATGTCAAACATATTCTCCTGTGGGTTGGGTAGCCCTCACAGCAACATTTTGTTACCTTGATATCTCCAGAGAAGTTTGATATGGTCATGCCGACTTTCTTTAAATGGAAATTGGCCCAGCGCAGCAGCAGCTCCTCAGGACTGAGCTTCATCAGTTCTTCCAGACTCTCTCCTTCCTCCAGCAACGCTGCGATCGCTGCGCACACGAAGACAAGCACGACCCGGGGGTTTGTGGGGGGGGGCAGAATTACAAAAGTGCATTGAAAGCAAAATGATGTAGAATCAAGTGTATAATTCTTTTTTTCTACATTACATTTGTGATGTTAAAGTTTTGTGTTTATAATTTTGGTGTGTGTAAGAACATTACTTTTACTCCAAGCACTAATTTTTTTCCCCACATACCAGTCTGTGTACCTGTGTGTGTTTGCGCGTACCTTCATTGCGGCTCAGCTCTATATCGGCAAACAATCCTATCTTGATAATCTGCCAGAGGAGCCCGAGCACAAGGTGAGGTTTTCCCTCCTTCAGGTCTTGAGCGCCGATGTTGACGACCTGGCAGCCGATGGCCGAGGCTGAATTCAAAGCCAAGTTCAGATTCTCCTGTAAGGGAAAAAAAATAGTAGTTGAAGACACAAAGATAGGAGGAAACTGACCAACTGAGCACCCAGTTCCTCAGGTGCTGATGATAGAGGAGAAAGTTCAGGCCAGGTTCTTTCAATACAATGTGCATTTGTATATTAAGTGATGCAGTTTTAAATGCGAAGGTGGATAAAATTCACTTTTAAAAATAAACTATAACAAACTGCGTATAACTCTAATTCAAATCCATGCTATGAAGATATATCACAATTAACATAACGAAAACAACCGATTAGTTAAACAGCTGACCGACCTGTGTGGTGAAAGCAGTGAGTTTCTTCTTATTGATGGTTCTCTCATCAATGGTGTCAGGAACAGAGAGATTGATGAGTTTACTGCAGCAAAAAAAAGTAGAAAATCACAGCACTTAGCACACAAAACTGACTTAATGCAAAAAAATAAAATAAAATAAACTGACTGAAAACTGGGCAAAGTTTACAGAGAAGTAAAAAGAAGATTGAAGTTAAAGGTAAAATTTAAGACAGATATAAGATATAATAAAGTATAAGTTTAGGGTTTACCAGAGCACGATGCCGTCTGCCACTGCTTTAAACAGAGCTTCAGTGTTGGGGTTGATGGGCAGAACATGTTTACAGTCTGGATCCTTCTCCAAAGAAGAGTTGATATAGTTGGCAAAGGCAAAGCGCTCCTGCTCTGAAATACAGAGAAGTTAAGTGTCACTTCCCTTGCTAGTAAAAATCTGTCATGGATATGGGCTTGGCTCGGTGACCAGTGAACCCTTATATAGCACTCTATTAGTATTAGTGTTACTTAATGATTAGACAGTTAATCTAGTTTTACTAACCAGAGATTGAGTGTTGAGTTCCTTCACTGGAGATCTCGCTGGTGCCCCCGATGGCTACGATGCCTTCTTTCTTGTTGAGAGCTTTCCTGAAACCCTGGGCCATGCGGTCGTCCTTCATGTCCTGGAAAATCTGAACGTACACACAAGAACACACACACCAAGTCTGAGAGTCAGTCACACCGTGGTTACTGTGTATTTGTCAGGATACTGATCAAGATAATTGATTTAACACTTTTAGTTAGTTAGTCAGTCAGTCAGTCAGTCAGTCGGTCAGTCAGTTTGTTAGTTAGTGTTACCTACAGCCGTGAATTCTTCAAGATTGATGCGGCTGTCTTTGTCTCGGTCCAGCTTCTGGAGGAGTTCTCTGATCTGGTATCCAGGCAAAGGACAGCCCACCTCGCGGAAGAGGCCACCGAGTTCAGAGGCGGAGATGTACCCATTACCATCCACATCTTCAGAGGTGGGGCGGACGCAGGAAGGACAGGGACAGGGACAAGGAAGGAAAATAGCACAGTTCAAGCAAGTTTTGATGTAGAGCCCATGTTGCTCTTCTCGCTTTCCAACTGATACAACACCAAGAGGATTCAGGTACTTTCATGACCAGTGGTACTTTTGTTGTTTCATATTTACATAATTGTTTACAATAGAGGAATAACTGTGATTAGTTCAAATCACTGGGTCCCTCCACACATCTTACACAGAGACAAGTCAGTTTCCTTGTCAGTCTGTGAAAACAGTTGTATGATGTCATGATCATGACGATGTATGATATTATATGATGACATTTGTGGCTCTGGAGGAGTTTTCCTAAAGTCTAAAAAAATAACCCTCAGGATCAGGATGGTCTAACTTTTGGATTGCATTATAGGAAGTGTAGGACAACAACTGATGATTAAGATGAAGTTACACTGATATAAGTGATGCACTGTCCAGACAGAGATACTCAATAAATGAGACTCAGTGTCCTGAAAATTACTTTACTGTATATCTTAAAGGAGTAGTCCGAGAAGAGAAGATCGATACCGCTCTAATGTCTGTCGGTTAAATATGAAGCTACAGCCGGGAAATGGTTAGCGTAGCTTAGCATAAAGACTGAAAACGGGGGGAAACAGCTAGCATGGCTGCGTCCAAAGATAGAAAAATCCACCTACCAAAGACTTTGAAACTCACCAATTAACACATTATGTCTCATTTGTTTAAACTGTATAAAAACAGAAATGAAAAAATTACCAAAGAGGGTATTTTTCAAAATCTAATACTACACCTTTAAAACAGTGGTTCTCAAATTTTTGTCACATCGAGGACCCCTGAACTGACACAAATTAGACCATGGACCCCCATTTGATAAGATTTTATCCCAGGGCCCCCATCTGATAAGATTTTTGAAAACAAATGATTCCTCTTTTTGCTGGGAACCCCCTCGAGGACCCTTACTTTAAGAGCCACTGCTTTAAGCAATAAGTGAGGTGTGGGTTTATCAAAGGTTTCATTTCTCTCCTCCAGAAAAACACCTGTCTGTCAGATGTGCACACACACACGAGCACGCAGTACATAAGAACACATGTTTGTCAGATGCTTTAACCCACTTCAAATATGATTGACTAATTTGTCTTTCTTTGATGTCTGAAACTTCCACACACGCACGCACGCACGCACAAACGCACACACGCACACACACATGCACATTTTTACTCACCCACTTTCTGGAAGCCTTCCCTGATCTCCTCCATCTCCTCTGCGCTGACCTTTTGCGACATACTGACACCTACAAAACAGTTCAGCAGAAGATAAACAAATGCTGCATTTAGGTACTGAAATACAATTTCATCGTTGATAACAGCTGATTTCTCTTCAGCCTTGGAAAGTTTTTACGTACTATACTTAAACACTGAAGCATAAAGGATATGTTATCATCAGATTACCTGCAGTATTTGAATTGAATTAAGGCAAACAAATGACACTACACCTTAAACCTGATCTCATGCTATATTTATAACCAGTGTTACTCATATCATATTATTAAATATTTTATATTTCTCATAAATTCTTTGTCAGAAAAATCATCCCAGTCATCAGGATGATGTGGTTTAGGTTTAAAGATGTTACGTTGTCTCTCTTCGGCCAATCATTTTATATGAGATCCTGCAGATAATTTTCAGCTGAACACAGTGAAGCTGAGCAGACCGATTCACAATCGTTCCTTTGAGGATGAAACATCTGAGTATACGACAAACACAGATTTGTTAAAATACGATGGCTCCGGGCTCTGTCAGCTCCATCTTTTGAGATACAACAGTTTGTTGTGTTCATTATTCCTGTGTTTGCTCGGGTCAGCCCGGAGCCATACTGCAGCTCTCAAACAACACAGCTCTGTTCACTCAGCCAAGAAGGAGATAGTCGCTTCATCTATTACACAAAGAGCCACTTAGCTTTACAGCTGCATAAGCCTAAAGACCATTATAACATCTAATAGTTTCATGTAGATTGCCTTCGTTGTGATACGATTCTGTAATGGAGGGCATAGACGGTTTGTATTATAGCTTGTGTCGACAGATATTTATATTACAGCTGCTGTACTTAGATACATGATTGCTCTCTCCAGAACAAACAGATGATCCACATAAGCTTTTTGTATATAGAATCATACACCTGCTTTTATCTATAATAACTAACTACGGATACACCCAGAGAGGCATCGAGCTATGAAGACAGTTTGGGCAGTTTGTGTTTACATTTTGAGACAGATGTCACTGAGACCCTTTGTACAACCAAAATACAATGCAGGCACTTGGCCACTTTAAGCATCCTTGAACAGCAACAGCAATGTATTTTTCCAGAAACAACATCCTGGGTTTTCAAGCAATCCACATGACCTCCCTGTTTGTTTTCTGCCAAATTATAACTATCAGCTTTCTATCTCCGTCCATACTTCAGTTAACATCTTGTGTACAGGGGTGGTGGAAGCAGCTGAAGTCTCAAAACCTCACTTATATCAACCCAAAGGTGGAATCTATATCAGTACCACACTAAAGATTAGTGGAAATGTTTTTTTCCCTGTATTTATTTATTTATTTTAAACTATTTTGTAATTTTGGCAAAATGAGTCTTAACCATGCCAAATAAGCTAGTGAAATAAGGGAGCTGAATGAATCTGTTTTAGCACACAGATCCCTTCAGTAACAATAAATCTGATTCGATCTTCAGCAGGAAGAAGCAGAGCTCTGCAGCAGCTTGGCAACATCACATCAGACAATGTTATAGAAACTATCAGCCCAGATATACAGGCCCAGTAGGAAGAGATAGTGAGATTAGCCTGTACCGTATGTGATTTAGCCAGAGAGAGAGAGAGAGAGAGAGAGAGAGAGAGAGAGCTGAGCCCTGCTAGCTCGTACTAGATATGACAGCTTGATGAATTTACATTCCCTGGCAATCAATGCAAGCCTCGGAAGCCAAAGCCATTCACTATTATTAGTCTCAGGTAACAATGGCATCCATTAGAGAGGTTTAACTTGATGAGAAATCTAGATCTGACTGAAAGACATAAATGACTTTTAAGAGACATTAAACAAAAAGATTTTGGCTAGAAAATTCCCTCCATTTCCATCAGGCTTCCAAATGTTCGCGTGTGCTATGATCGTGTTACAGTGTTGCCAAATAAACAAATAAGCTTTGCTTCAGCGCAGGATGCAAACACACAAGCTCCCTGATCACAGGGGCCACTATGTCTCCAAAAAAAACTTGAAGCACACAGTTTGTTTCAGACTCTGCTAAGAAAATAAAAGCCGTGGTCAGATGACACATCGCCTAATGTCAGTTATCTATTCCCACGGTTGTTTGAATAATGAATGGAGATTATTTTTCTTAATGCAAAACAGGCCTATATACACAACATACTGTATGTGGCACCCTCCTCATGACAAAGACCAGTGTACATCTGACAACCTTAAAACAGTGATTACTGATTCACCAAACCGGAGAGACAATAGTGTGGAGGCATTTTGTAAGCCTTTTTAAATGTATTTCCTGTGCACACAAAATGCATTGTAGTGGAGCTGTTTTTAACCTTCAAAGACATGAACTTTGGTGTTCATCATTATAACTTAAGTGTTTTCAGTGTGAAATAACTGCTATGCAGAACTGTTGAATTGCAGAAAAAAAAACTTTTACTGCCACCAGGTGTCACTAGTCCAGGAGGAACAGAACATTTAAAGGCATTTGATGCATGTCCTTGCTATGTTTTCTGAGTAGTTTTTGTGGAGGTAGAATTGAGGTCTGTTTATACCAATATCACAGAAATGGTTATTAATAATATCATTAAATTACATTACATAGTTATACACAACATGCTTGGCAAATACAAACAATGAAATTAAAATTAATAAATGAATTCATCTTTTGATCAAATTAACATGACATGGAATCAAAATAGAACAACAGTCATTAATGAAACATATTTACAGCACCAATTATAGTAACAAAAGCAAAGATCAATATCATCAGTCACGCCTCTAGTTAAAGTTATATAATTCCTCCTTGGTCTATTCAGTGACATTGTGTTGCCTGGATGGTGTGTGTCCTCCAGATTTAGACTCTGAGGATTCATTCATCCAGTCACACCAGCCTGGGCGCACATGACTGGAGGAGTGTGTTTATAGGACCCTCACACAAACACACACATGTCTGTGTCCAGAATGACGATGCATTTCATATCACCATTCATCCTGACACATGTCTGCCTATCACTCTCACCGTACCTGCGATTCATCCCGAACATTCATTGAGAAAAAAAAAACGGCCTTCAGTTATATGTATTTGAAAACAACTATAAAACGTGTTATTGAAGCTTAAGTGGCCATGGGGAATTTAATATTACAGCCTGTAAGCAATTTGCATTGTTTTGCAAATAGGTAAATCGATGACAAAAAAAAAAGACAACGAGCCAAATGTTTAACTTGCATTTAAAATGTTAAAATGTTATTATTCGTATTGTATTAAGATACAAAATGCATGTAAGTAACATTAATAGTCTTCACTGGAAATTTTGTCTGGGACGAAAACTGTATTTCCGATGTCCAAACCTTTCCAATGTATGTAATAAACAACATGAACAACAAATAGGCTACTGCGCATTTTCAGCTATTGCTCGCACATTTATGACTCACATCCTGAAACACATCCTGAGGTATGCTGTGAACTGTAATTTGCTGAATGGAAGCAGAGCAGATGTGCCGCAGTGAGTTACAAATCTTCTTTTCTGATCCTCAGTAAAAGAGACAAAAGCTACCCTGTGAGAAAACGCCCTGAAATGCTCCTTCCTCTTACCTGAAGACCGCTGGTGCAATTCAGTACAGATCACCCGGGGGAAATGGATCCCTGTGTCGGCCTCTCTTTGCTCCTCTGTCCCGTTTTCTTCAGCTTGACACCGCCCGGTCGGAAGAACCGCCCCGCCCCTCCGAGCCACTCCCTCCCTTACCAAGCCTCCCCCGCCTCCTCTCCATCAGCAGTCATGTCTGGCCACTTAGCAAGAAAAGCACGAACTCCTCAGGGCAGGCTGGCATCTGATACTGTCTTAGCTCGGGGGGGAACATAGCTTATGTTTCAACCAACCTTTCACTAAAGCATATAAAAAGGAAAGAGAAAAATGTCCAGTATTTGAAAGGTGATATAATAAAAAAACAAACCCAACAAATTTCAGCTGTTTAATGTAAAATGTTTAACCTACAAATGTGATTACAACACTATTAATGACTCATAAACATGACCAATTGGAGGCATGAATATTTCTTTCTTTAAAGAATTGAGGAAGAAAACTTTTTTGTTTGAAGTTGTTATTATATGTAAGAAAAGTGAGGACACTAAAACAGAAAAAGCTACAGGAAGTTTTATTTATTCATTTATTTCATTTTTTTAGGCCCAGAGAAAAAGCTAAAACTTCTTCTTGTGAATGAGCTTTGCCCCTTGACTGAACTGATTTGCACCAAACTTAGTGGAGATACAGGGTTTGGCACTGGGAAGAACCCATTCAATTTTTGGTGCAGATCCGGATCATTTACTGTTAATTTGAATTCTTTCCTCTGTGTGTGTTGTTTCGCACCGGTCTTGGCAGAGCTCTGTGTTCTCTGACTGCCCTTCTAGTTTGTTTTGCAATAAACAGAGCTCAGCACAGTAGCACTATCACTGGTATAAATAAAAATCACCTCACCCTGTGAGGTAAACGAACCATTTAGAGCTAGATTGGCTTTATCAACTCTTTTGAACAATGTTTCATTCACTGTCCCTCGGGGGCAAACCACACCTATTCGCCACCTGATTGATATTATTAGCCAACCCCATTTAGTTTGGATGCAAAATGATAATGTATTACCTGGACATTTACAGTAACACGTTAAACACTAAGATTATAAAATGTATCACGATCAAGCGCTGTAAAGTAGATTGTGTTCAAACTGTAATCTGCAGCAGATTACTGATTATTCATTCTGCAAACATGCTTTATCAGTGAGTGTAACTTTGTGTGTGAACTGTCAGAGTGCTGCTGCTGCTGCTGCTGCTGCTACCAGTCTCTACATGCAGGAATTCCTCCTCTCTCCCTCCTCCTCCTCTCATTCCTACTCATCTCATACCTTTCCTTCCTTTTACTCCCCCCTTTTTTCCCTCTTCCCTCTGCACTTGTATTTCTCTCTCTCTCTCTCTCTCTCTCTCTCTCTCTCTGTCTGCAGTGATGTGCTGAATCTTGTCAGAGTAAATTCCTCCTCTGTGGCAGAAACCCAGGAAGACCGTTCCAGAAGGCTTTGACTTTCCTGTTTGCCACCCATTTTTATGGGAAACAGTCATTCAGGGCTGCATAGTTAATGTCCTCTTGCCCACTGTCATTTATTCACTTTAATTTTTCGCACTGCTTGTTGCATTGGACCAGCTGTATTAGGAACTCTGCTAAACAACAACGACAGAAAAATATTTACTTAAAGCACGACTTTACACACACCCATTAAGACCCTGTCATAATTTACATAAGGTTGACTTCATTTAACTTATTCTACTTACTGTGATGAATAAACACACTTCACCCCCAAAAAGGTGAGGTACGATACTATTTTACAGCTCTAACTAACAGTAAACAGTATTTGGTTGAGCTTAATGTGAGTGTGCTCCGTTAACGTACCCTGGGTATATCAAGTTTTCTTCTTCAGCCAAGTCGTGAATTTGCTTTTGACTGTTAAAAAGAGGACTAGACAATGATGTCATTGAATGGCAGAAAGCTTTTCCACATCTGTTGTTAGTCAAGAGGCAGAAACAGATGAAGAACAGAAGTTCTTATTAATATATTGACACCCCCATAAAAGCTAAAAGCAATAAGTTTAGGGCTGCAATATTTTTTTCATCAATTAATCTGTTGATCATTTTTTGGATTAATTCTTTTGTCTATAAAGTGTTAGGACAAAAAACCCCTGGTGACATCTGGTATTGTTTTATCTGACCCACAGTCCAAAACCCCAAAATATAAAAAACAGAAAGTCATGATATTCAAGACATTTAGGAAATACTTAGCATTTTTCTTGAATTAAACAACAATTTATTCAGTAATAAAATTGTTGTGATCAATTCTGTTAACTGAGTATATAGTATAACAGTATAGGTGTATAATTAATTCTGTTGTTTCAACTCTGCATATGATGGCATAGGATTTATTTTATTATTAATGAGTAAATAAGGTCATAGATAGATAGATAGATAGATAGATAGATAGATAGATAGATAGATAGATAGATAGATAGATAGACTGCTATGATGAGACTGCTTGATTAGATGCCTGCTTGGGTTAATTTTGCTGAGAGTTAGGAATAATGTAATGCAGTCAGAACTGCATTTATAGTAAACTAGAAATTCTAGGACAAAATCAATTAATTTCAGTGGAATTGTCACAATCAGTGGATTTGCCTGTGGAGGAAGAGCTTTCACAACTTTGGTTAAGTTTGGTGAATTTGAGGCACCAGTAGCAAACTGTCTCTACAGTGCTGGCCTTTTTGAAGCCTTTGGACAAAGCACATAGGTGTATGGCTGAATTTGATTCAGCTGCTTCAGTTCAAAGACCTGGTTTTGTGCATGCCGACTCACTGTCACGCTGCCATCACTCTCAGTGGACTTATAGATTCTAGAGGAAGATGTAATTGTGTTGCAGCATCCAGTTTTATGTAACTTTCAGAAGCCATTTCAGAACACAAACCATGGTGACTTATTGTCCTAATATAGTAGTAGCTAGCTAGCATGCAAACTAGCAAAGTGAATAAACGTCACTGTCACTTTCTGGTCTAACTGGCACTAACAGAGGGAACTAAATTAACCCAAGAGTCAGAGAGACAGAGACCGACAGAGCGCTGAGAGGAGGTCTAATCAGGTCAGGCAACAAGTGGAAACACCTGTGTGTGTGTGTGTGTGTGTGTGTGTGTGTGTGTGTGTGTGTGTGTGTGTGTGTGTGTGTGTGTGTGTGTGTGTGGACCACTGGTGTGCAGCTTGTCTTAGGACTCTTTAATTATTTAAGTCAAGTCAAGTTAGAACATAAGATAAAAAAGAAGAGGTCACCATCCTTGGACCCCAGGGTTGCAACAGGAATAATCGTAATGATTAAATATCAGTTCTTCCCTGTAGAAGTTTAGATTTTGTTGAATCATTTCGTTTGCAGTGCTCTTGTTTATTTTTGGTAATACACTTATATTATAACACTGTCATAGGGTAATGATTTATATTAAATTGCTTCTAGTAGCCTACAATTTCGAAAAAAAAATAACCCAAACATATAATTAAATGACTAATGGAATGTGAGCACATGCTGAATTGAATTCAGACAGTTGATGGTTTGTGCTCCCATGTGGATACAGTGACCCAAGGACCTTGGATTTTGTCTGTTGTCGCCCAAATGTGGCTCCAAGCTGACAACTGGCTCATGTGATAACGCTGATGATATGTCAGCAAGCCAAATAAATTAGGTCGGTCAATTCACTATTGTTGGCTGCTCCTCTGCCATGTGTGTGAGAAAGACACTGATAGGGGGAAATGGAGACAGACAGAGCCACAGACAGACAGAGAGAGAGCGAGACAGGCAGAGTTAGACAGACCGACTGAAAGACTGACCATTGTGCTGTTTTGGCAGGATGCGGTGAATGCTTTAAACACATGCTTCTATGACTCATAAACCAAACACACAAACACACACGAACACAAAGCAGAACAGAAGCCAATGCTGTTCACAATGTGTTAGTCCCATCAATTTGAATATTTTATGGAATTGCATATTTACCTGGGTAAACATTTGTTAACCATTAAGGTACAATACACATGACACGCCACCAGTCACTGTGGTAACACAGCCTGTACTGTACAATCACTTATCACACTCTGTGGTTTGATCCAAGATGGCAATTAAGTCTGAGTGAGTTGGTGGTCAAGTCCAATTTGTTTGGACTTAAATACCTGCAAATCCTAGGAATGTTTTCTATTGTCACATATCAATCAATAACAATAGCAATCACTCCTTTCCAGTTAGGTGTCATTGTAAATCATGCAGAAACAGCAGTATGCATGATATAAGCGCCCTGACACTTAACACACCTGAATGAAATGCAGGCATCATTAATGTTGTTAATTATACCTGTGTCTGACGAGTCAAAATGTCTGCTAACGGCACAGCTAACTTTGCTCTGCGGTGTGTGACAGTTTGGCTAACTGACTGATGCATGCATGATACATGTTTTCTGTTTGGAAAATTAAAAAAAAAAGATGCTGATTTTTTGACACATTATAACAGCCTTTCACATAAAGCAGAGGAGGAATAATGTACACTATGTTTAACACAAAGCAGCATTTGTTGTTTGTTTTCATTTCTTTTTTGACCCACTGTCTGATTCTCCTTGAGAGAGTATAGCATATATATAAAATGTCCTGCCCAGTATATTTCTTGGTCAATAAAAATAAAACAAGTTAAGGGTACCTTATCGAAAATGTTTATGAGAGGGGTTGTGTAAGGAAAATTAATATTGGCCTATATTTTAAACTCTCAAATATCAATATTTGTATCAGTCTCAAAAACCCTGTGTCTGTTATTACATGAAACAAACTTTAGTCAATCAGCATAAGGTGTGCATGGGACCCTCTCTGGTAAGTGTCGACCGTGCAGTAAATCTCACACCAGTTCAAAGTGCGGGTGGTTTTGTGGTCGGGTTGTTGTGCTGAGGCAGTGGTGGTGACTCCAGCTTCATTCATCTCAATGATGGAAAATAAGACATTTTTCACTGGTTCAGCCCCAAACCGAGATTCAAGAAGCTGACATGGATGAATTCTTCACTCAAATCTCACCCCATGCTTTCTGAATGAGCCTATATATGGAACTATTTGTTGGCCAACTTAACCAAACTCATAAAGTGACAGCAAGCTGGCGTAGTGGTTAGTGAAGTCATCTCTTTTACCACAGTCAGAGCACTAGGGTCCAGTCCTCTGTGCATTTGCCGGGCGATCCTTCAGCAAGAAACTGTCTGAAGACTTGAGTTTTTTTTTACATGTCGAGCTGTAAATGGCTCCACGGCTTCTTAGTGGCTGTAACATGATGCTGGTAGGTGTGAAAGAACCGTGGTATTAAAGGTTAATAATAGTGGCATTTAAGTGGCTATTGAGACTAAAAACTCAATTTAGGGATGAAATAATGCTGCGAGGTCAGACCTCAAGACAATATTTTCATCTTTTGCTCTTTCCAGTTGTGTGGGATTGGCAGAGCTGGCTGCCAATTACTAGCTGTCAGTCAGTTGTTTCTAATGCCACTGCATGCTGTTTGACCTGAGCTGCCAACCTCTTGTTTACTTTGTCTGAAAGAATAGGTTCCACAGGGATTTACAGTTACCCTGCTACAATTTCATTAATGCCCCTTTCCTCTTCTTTCACTGCCATCTCTCTCTGCTCCTTCCTTCCACCACTACCACACGTTTATCTTCTTCCCCCATTCTCCCTTTCTTCCTCCCCTTTCAGGAAGCAACGTTGAAGAGAAAAAAACATCCACTTTTTAGCCTAAAACTCCTGGAAACCAGAGTTTTATCTAAACCTTACATAAAGTAAGGACAATTAAAACGCACCTTGTGGGAGAGGTAGTAGAAGCATTAGAGGATGTTCCATCACATCCTGTGTTTGTGAAGAGGTTTGACTTCTGACCTCCGCTCCAGTACAGTAGACTCATGTTGCATGAAGGAGTGGGAGAAAGGAATGCCTTTGACCAGCCACATCCACTGTTTTTTTTTTTTTTTTTGCAATCTTGCTGGATACAAACTATTTTGTGTGCTTGCCTTTCATCCAGGCAAAAGAAACTCCCCACTGTTGTTGGTAACTTTACACTTGTACCATTATAGCAGGTCTTTCAGGCTCTCCTTTCTATTCCTTAACTACACCTATAGTACTTCTCATACAGGTAAGACTGTGTGTGATCACACAATATATGAGTAATTTGAAGATTTGGTCCAGAAATAAAAAAAAAAGAGCAAATTTAGGATGTTTTCTTAAAATTGTTGTGAGAGCAGGTAGAGTTATGAATGGTGTGGTGTGGGTGTGTTTTTTCATGTGGTGTTGGGTCAGGTCAGGAGAGAAAACAGTAGCAGCCTGTACAGTTGTGTGTTGTTTGAAAGCTGACACTAGTGTGTGTATGAGGGAGTATAGTTGTGTGCGTGTTTTAGGCAGGTCCTCTAGAGAACAATACACTCTGTCCTCAGACCACACCCATCTTAAAGTGCCCCCCCCCCCCCCCCCCCCCCCCCCCCCTCTTTAAGGGCCCCCCCCCCCCCCCTACTTCCACTCACTTTAGCCCACTTGTCCTTATTTGGTCATGCTGCCAGCTCGGCTGATGATTGGTTGAGGAAAAAAATCTTCTGGTGTAGACACACACCTGTGCAGGCTTGCACACACACCCACTTACACTAGTTCCCAGCATCTCCTGAGTACACACACACATAAACACATACTGTACTCATACAATACCAATGTTTCTTCTTCATTTATTGAGTGTGACAGCTGCTAAAAACGATGTTAAACTACTGAAATACACATAATTACTATTCTATATGATTCATTTAATTAAGGATACACACACACACAAACTCACACCCCAGGCACTGTCTTGTCTAGACCTGCTGTCCATAAAATTGTCACACAGTACATACCTGTTTCTGCAGGCACCCCTGTCTTTATAACTGCAGGTTTCTTCAAAACCTGCTGAGGACCAACTAAGACACTGAAAAGTCCAAACAGCGTTCCAGACCCTTAAATGTCACATATACGCTGCATGTTGAGGAAGCAGCTTATCAGTAATTTGAGGAAGTTGGTCAGTGACCGCAGAGAGAAATTTGTGTCTGCATCTTCTCCTCTAGGCCACAGGGTTTATAGTCATGGATTCACTGATAGCAAAATTCCCCTTATGAGCTGGAGATGCTTTTCTCTCCTGATTTTATCTATTGTGCTTTATTGAAGTGATAAACAGTCTGGTTTCCATAGAAGCAAGTTGAAAAAAGTCACCTAAAAGCATAAAAAGTGGGAGAGAAACTGTGAATATGACATATTATGGTTTTAACCCTGTAACGTGAGCTACTTGACAATGTCCTGAAGGGGAGGAATAGCGGCCTCTAGCTGACACCCAAAGGAAGACATTATGAGAGGTTGATCAATGTCACATAATTTTATTACACAGATACAGAAATAAGTAGAGTCTATGGATTTGTCAGATTTTGTTATCGATGTATTCTTATTTAGTTGAGAGAGTTATTGGCGTCACAGCGGTTCACCCAGTGTCGTCTCCTTCAGTCAGAGGACTCTCCTGCAGACTCCAGTTCAGATAAAACGGCTCTGGATGGGACAGAGAACCAAGATACTGTGTGTGAACATTAGGATTCAGTAAAAATATGTACATACATATACATGACATCAAGATCAAAGGCTACTACTCAAACCTTTTTCTTTGTATTTCCCAGCAATGTAACAAACACATCGGATTTACTTCTATCAGGCCACTATCAGAGACTTTGTGGAAAGTTTCTCTGGAAAACTTCTAAAAGAAAAAAACTGCTCTTCTTAATTTTGTCCCTGAGAGCTGAATCAAACACTATCAATATCATACTATTGTTAATTCATCATATCATTTTGATGAAAGTTGTGGAGGTAAAACACTGCACACTTGAGATTTGAAGTCTTTTGTATTGTTACGCTATTCACTGAATTTTCACAGTAAAACAGTATTTGTTTTTAGTGGTTCCACAACAGTTTACAACTATGTCCTCAGTTTCACATACTGACCATATGAGACTACCCAAGAAAAGGCTGCATTTGAAGGAGCCTTTGAAATGGGAGAGCCTAGTCACGCTGCTTTGACGCAATTGGTCTTCAAATGCAGCTGCTGAAGGATGTGGCCCCAAAATTGGGACACAGCTATAGTGTCTCCTCAATGGCTGAACTTGACAGCTGTGTGCAACAGATGTAGTCTGATTGCTGATTTCCCCAAAAGTGCAAAAAATGTGTACATGACATATATATTTGTCAGCGACTGTCTCAGATGAAAACATGCTTCCTGCAGTAATACAACAATTCTCTACTCCTCACCTCTGCTCCTCGTTCAGATCAAACTCAGCCAGTGCTTTTTTTGCTAGCTTTGGTGTTTCTGGCAGACAGAAGGCTGCAGACAGCTGAACAAGGTCCACTGCTCTCTGAGGAGAGCCATTGCTGAGACACACCGACAGGAAGTCTTCCAACAGTTGCTCACTGGAGAATCATACAGCGGGAAACACACGGTCATAAACTGCTCAGTCAACATGAACATTTTGGCCAAATTTGTGTCATCAGAAGAAGTTCTAAAAAGCATTACATTTCATTTCTACAACTTACTGCACCAATATGTCTAATTACATCTTTATAACCTTGTCCTAGTGACATGTTTACTGCTGGTGTTGACAAGTTGGAGATATTGGAGCCAAGAAAACAAAAGGATTCCAACTTTATCACAAGTAATTACTACCTGGAGAATGTCATCATAAAATATCCCCAAATGATGAACATGTCATAAATCAGAGCTCTGTGGTCACTTATAGATTTTCTGTGTCTTTGGAGTTTTTCAAGGTCAAAATTGTGGTTGTAGTTTGGGTGGAGACTTACGAAGGAACTCTGTTGTTGGATTTGAAGAGCTGCAGCATCTCCCTGCAGAGAGAAGGATAGAGGGGAGCAGTTAGATGTTTCACTTAAACATTAGAGCATTATTACAGTCAGATTAAAGTACAAGCTCTCCAGTAAATGGACAGAGAGACAGAGAGAAGGACAGACAGACAGACAGACAGACAGACGTCTCTCTCACCAGGCCTGTTGGGTCAAGTTGGCTCGCAGCAGCACGGAGGTGATGTTTGAGAGAGAGGAGGTGCTCCACTCTAGACTGGACCTCCCTCTGTCACCATCAAACACCCTCTTTATATCAAGAGCACACGCTGCAAAAGACTGCTGAACCTGCAGACATGAATAGATTTATTTCCACAGTCTCAGAGAGGGAAGATCACACTGTGTTAGAACTGAACACCATGATGAAAAACCAGGCTGCCCGTTGCCCTCACTGACCTCGGGACTGTGTTTCTCTCTGGCCATCAGGGCAAGCAGCTCCTCCACCAGATCTGACTTATTATAATGACCCACGGTGCAGATATCTGGAAAACAAGCAGAGAACACCCGGTTTATAAAACAGAGCTGGAATCACATAATGATGACCTGACTTCATGACTTCTCATGATTCATCCAGTTTAAACCAGCAGAGTGAAGCCGGAGAGGGCAGGGTTTCTATCTGCGTGAACATCGTCTGAGTCATTAACTGGAGGACAGATTCACATCAAGACATGTACTGAGTGATTTTAGATACATCAGCTTTAACCTCACCTTTCCATATATGGGGCAGCAAATCAAGGCGGCTGTCTGTGTCCAGAGCCTGCAGCAGGTCCTTAAGTCCCTGAGAGTTCGGGTAGAACAACTAAAAACAGAGAACATCATGAAAAGCACAATTAAAGGTGATTGTACGTCAGAGTTAAGTATCATCTCACTTCCTCCTGGATGGATTCACAGAAAAAGATTTCAAATATGTTAAATGATGTGTGTGTTGAAGGCCAAGAGTTAAAGCCTCAATAATCTTTTTTTTTTTTTTTTTTTTTAATATTAGCAATGTCTCAAATGGACTATGTGTAATGGTGTCACTTGTAGTGAGGAACCCACACAGAATTATCACCAGACTCTACAGTTTCTGTCAGCTATATGGAGCTTTTAAGGCTCTTTAGGGGGTGAACACAGTGAAGCATTTAGCAGCTAAAGAGCCTGATATTTTTCTTCAGCGCTAAATATGTGCTAAGCTGTTTGCTTACATGCTTGCCATAACAACTTTACAGTGCCCAGTATTGAGTTTTAAGAAGATATATTTGTGGGTTTAAGAACCAAAAACCATCTCAATGTAGTTTCACATCTCCTCTCTCAGGCTTCTCTCTGGAGCTCTAGTAACAACCGGTAGGTGAGCCAATCAGAAGAGAGGAGGCTCTGAGCCTCTCTTCTGATTGGCTGACTGTTTTCTGAGTGATCCCTTAAAAATATAGCAGATTCCAGGTAAAACTCTCAAAAAAAACAAATCCCTCAAGGTTGGATGGTGGGTCTAGGTGGGCGTGCCTTGCAGCATGGCTTAGAGCAGTGACTGCTTTGTTGTGACATCACAAAGTTACAGAAGTACTTACGGCTTGTTTTAAGGCTCAGTTTCTGAATATAGGCTGTGTGCATTTCTCTGTGGACTGAGGCTTTGATACTTTCACAGTGTTAATATAGAACCTAAACCTGCTTTATAAACTAACAACACATGTACATCTACCTTTATACTATATGGGACCTTTAAATTGTAGACAGAAACATCAGTCTTACCTGTACATCTATGAGAACAGTTGATGTGACCCCCACTAAATAAAAGATTAACACCCTGTTGTGATAACCTGGGGTTTGGTCACACAGTGAGGTACTAGCTGCAGCTTCTAATATCTTAAAGAGGTATTACTGATTCCTCATATAACATCTGGTTGAAGTGAACAGGGAGAGAGGTGCAGTGATGTACTGACCGAGGGAATGAGCTTTTTGTACCACTTCAGCACTACATCGATGTGCTCCATCAGGCACAGCAGGGTGAAGAAGCGACCACTGGAGAGGAGCGAGCACAGGTTCAGTTACAAAGGACAGAGGTGTGGAAATTCATCTGATGTATTTATAACAGAGATTCAGCCCTGGAGGACACAGTTATACCAGGGTTATGATAATGTGGCTCAATAATGTGCGTGCAGGGTATGTGTTTCATGTTGGTGGTAGGTTTTTTTACTCACTAGTAAATACTCTGTTGGTAGGGATCTCCCAGCAGCCTCCAGTTCTCCCCTACTTCTAGTAGACTCTGTACTTTATAACCCAGCTCCAGATCTTTATTGCCGATACACTGTGGGGGAAAAGAGGTGAGGGGAATGAATAGATTTACACCAGCTCAACAGTAACAGTGGATAGAGGGAGAGGATGAGCATATCTGCATGTTTTAAGACAAATTTAAAGACTTTTAAAATACCACTTAATTTCTGCTGAAAACTAAATTTTAGGCTCATGTAACAAGTGAAATAAACAAAACCATCAAAACCAGCCTATATCTAATTTAATACAGCTAAACATAGTTAAAATATAATATGTTTTGACAGTAATTGCTGTATAAATCTAAAAATAGGCGAAGAAACACAAGTACTTGATAATAAACTCTTCATTTGAGATTCTAAAAAAAGGACTTGCACTTTGCAGAAACACATCGGAGACAAACATTTACACAAAACAAGTAATAAAAAAAGACTTACTATTTTCATTGCAGTAGCAAAGAACAGAACTGGGAAGAAGAAGAGAGAGAATAATAAGTCAGTAATAGAGACACATACAGAGATGCATTTCTCTGCTGTGTGATGGTGAGTATAACTGTCCATGTTTTTTTCATACATTTTTTAGATCCATTTTAAACATCAAGGTTTCAGATAAAATATGTAAATTTCAATAAAAAAACTGGAAAAACTGAGGTGTTCTTAAACATACAGAGACACTAAAACCTACCATCACAAGGGTCCTGACAGGTGAAGCTGCGACCTTCCAGCTCTGACATGATTTCCTGTAAGATGTCAGTGTTCCTTTGGTCAGAGAAGACTGGAAAGAAAACATTAAAATATTAAACACAACTCAACCTCCATCAAAGACTGCACTGTAATGATCAAGTGTGTTGTAATATTAAACGCCACTGCTGTGTTCACCTGATTTGTAAACAATTGACAGGATGTGGTCGTATGAGCCCAGGCTGGGAACTGAAAACACACACACACACAAAACTGTCAGTGTAGAGATAAACAGGAAAAGGCTCACCATAAAACTCAAAAATGTTAAATTATGATGAAACATTTTGGGATTCTATTAAAATTTCAAGTTAAAAGTCAGTTTGGGTTTACAGCCTCTTACTGTAACACAGTGCATGTGTGTGTGTGCTAATAGTTACCGATTCCCAAGGCCTTCATCTCATTCAGAGTTTGCAGAGCTTTTGTTCTGGCCAGAGGGCCACAGCGTCTCAGAGATTTAAGGACACAGTTGAAGGTCGTCAGGTTGGGCCTTATTTTCTGTTGATTCATCTCGGTCAACAACTCCTGCAAACAAAGAGAGACACACAACTTGAAGTCTTCACAGGGTGACGATGTGTAAAAATATTTCACCTGATGACACACAGCTGGCTTCACTGTAAAGTTCTGGTCTGAGTTATCACCTCTGAAACTGCCACATTGGTAACTTTTACTGCCATACATGGCAAAAAAGATGTACGGATGGTTGAACATTTCACACTACTGTTTGAAAATTCATACAGTAAAACATGAATTTTTAATGAACTGTAATCTGTCATTCTAAGAGATTAATATCAATATATAAGCACATTGGATTGAATAATATCCAAATTATGATATAATATCTCATCAGAGGCTTTCATACTTCAAAATTAGATTTTATCATCAATATACGGAATATGGAGTCCCAAAGAGGTCAATATTAAATAAATCAATAATTCTGAAATTCATTTTATAAACAGTGAAAATACTATAATAATTTAAGTTAAACCATTTTAATTCAACAATTACTAAACATATTATTTAATCACTTATGAAACAGAGGTTTGGAAGTTTTGTTTTTGAAAGTTCACAGAAATTTTTATCTCAAGATGCAAGAATGACTAAGACTAAGAATGAGGAATTAATGTTTCAAATATTGAGGTTAAATATGAATTATTTCTTAAATTATTTCACATTTGATTTATATATTTCACATTATTTTTTCTGAAAATTATGTATTTCATAATGTCTTTTATTATTTATGTGATATTGAAAACTTTCTGGATCCATTATTATATAATTATATATATTATAATGTAATCTATAATTACATAATAATAATAATAATAATAATAATGATAATATATCATATTATCATTCTGTGACTGACTGATACAAAATTATTACACTTTAAATAAACAGCACAATTACATTTTTTACTGACATGAAAAGGTGTTTTTATGAGGAAACCTGGAGATGTGTTTAAGATCAGCACAAAAGCTCTGTAACAGTGTGAAGGGTCTTACAGCGATCAGGTCCCATTTCTCACTGCTTTTTTCTTGGACATTTGGAGCTGCTATGATCAGCGCGTGGTAGATGTGAATGTCAGCTGTAGACAGAGTGTTAGGATATTAGTCATCTGCTTCCAATACACTGATATTTGAACAAGGATCAACATCAATGCTCACAGTCAATCATATCAAATATATCACTTAAAGCTACCGTTTCTACTACAAATACTGCCTTTAAAAGTGTGTTTGCATATTGCAATGCGCATTTCTTTTTGTATTTCTTTTTCCAACCCACCAGTCACTTTGTTGTTGAGCATGTCTGTGTACATGCTGAAGGCCTTTCCATGGGCTTCATGCTGGGAAGACACAGACACAGCAATTAAAGCATGCATCAAAACTGATATCACTTAATACCTGCAGCTAAATTATTTTAAGCAGGTAACTGTAGCTAATGTGAGCCTCTCTCTAACAACACAATGAACAAGCTACACTATAGGCCATTCCACCACTACTAACAGCAGTAATGAATCTGGCCATACCTTCACCATGCCTCTGATCAGAGCAGAGTAACACCGTGTGTCTTTCTCTGGCAGCAGGTTAAAGATTCTCTCAGCGTTGTTGTTTTCTTTCCAGGTAGTGTTCACGAAATCCGAAGCCTGACGGAACTTGACTCTCTTCCGCTTCCCCTCCTCTCCTAAGTCCTGCTGAATAAACAAAGATAAACAAAAGTAAACATACATAATACTGGAGTATTAATATGATGTTTGAAGTCTCCAGATGAATGTGGCTGATGGGTCGTTTCACTTTCTGCAGCAGAAACCCACCCTGTTCTTGTCACTGAACATCACCCTGAGGTTTGGATCAGGGATGACTCACCATGTCAGGGTCTCTGTCATCGTAGAGACTGATCAGGTCTAACAGGTCATGGGTTGTTTCCATGGAGATTGCTGTGCCTGAAAAAAATAAATTAATGTAGTAGGGTTTACGTTCTAACATCTGTAAGAGAGAGAACATATGCTGCGTGTTTGTGTGTGTGTGTGTGTGTGTGTGTGTGTGTGTGTGTGTGTGTGTGTGTGTGTGNTGTGTGTGTGGTTGTGTGGTGTGTGTGATCTCACCAGCTTGCAGCAGCTGGTCATACATGTCCACTGCAGCTGTAACTTTCCTTAGGCTGATTCGTTCCTTCAGTGCCTCCTCGCTCACCTCCTCAAGTTGTAGTGACACTGTTTCTGGCATCAGACACTACACACAGACACACAGACACACAGACACACACACAAAACAACAAAATAATGCAATGCAAAATAATGTTCACAAAATATGCAATGCCAAACCGAAAATACTTTGGTCCAAGACTCAAACCATCACTACAGCTCTGACTGAAGGTCTCGGCTCACTTAATTAATCACTAAAAGTCAGTTAAACCGCTGCACAAAAGACNCGCAATGCCAAACCGAAAATACTTTGGTCCAAGACTCAAGCCATCACATACACACAGCTCTGACTGAAGGTCTCGGCTCACTACAGGCTGCTTTGGTGACTTGAATTTACATGGATACATTAACTATCCAGTCTTCTTACACATTTTTCAAGCATCAAAATGAAGCCAAACGTTTAGAGTACAGCTAAAATTGATGTTGCTTGAACTGTGTTGAATTAAGCTGTTCAAGCCTGCTGTGTTTATATATTTGGAACCAGTTGCACAAAACACCTAGGTTAAGATTCTCCTCTGAGTCTGAGTTAAGTTTTCCTTAGAACAAAAACAGTTGTACAAAACACCCTCAAGTCTTCTTAAGATTTTCTTAAAACGTTCACTTAAGTATTTAAGGATTTCTCCTTATCTTAGTCTTGATTAATCACTAAAAGTCAGTTAAACCGCTGCACAAAAGACTCGTGACCACAGTAAGGGAAAAAATAAAGGTACTTCTGACTCTGTCTTAACTGCAACATGGTGAGTTTATGGTGATAAATGAAGAAAATGAACTCATCCCAGGAAGATGATGATGATGATGTTACCCCGACCAGGAGACACCTCTAATTATGCAATAGAATTTTACAGCTGTAAAATCTCTTTCACTGCTGCAGATTCCTTAACTTTTCTCCTTAAGTAAGAAAAACCTTTTAAGAGATTCTGAGCAACACCCTTAAGTAACTCCCTCAGCTGAAGAGAAATTAGTGCGATACTTAAGTAGAAAACTTACAGTGTTTTGTGCAACTGGCCTCTGATCTTTAGTTCTCTCATTAAAGACACCTGTACATTCATTAGCAGGTATAGATGGTTTCTTACCGGTATGTGTGGCTCAGCAAAGTCTTTAGTGAAGAACTTGGGATTACTGTTGATAAAGTATTTGGCTGCAGACCTGCCGGACTCCTGAGACACTGAGTACAACTTCTGCAGAGAGAAGAGATAGAGAGAGAGAGAACAGTTCATCAGTTACAAAATATCTCACAGTGACAGACTGTATATTGTTTCTTACAGCAACTATAGCACAGAGGGAAGTCTTTAATTATGAATACAACAGTGATCTGAACTTTATATGTTCTCATTATTATCATTAATAAATAGTTGGTGTTAAAACAATGATATAACCTTCTTTTTTTTCTTTTTTTTTAATCCAAAACTATTTTTGCTACTTGTAAACAACACAGAAATATATGGAAAAGAATAGGCTTGAAACCACAAGGGGAGATAATGATACCTACAACAGAGTAGACGTAAATGAGATGTTATTAATTACACATGTGCTTTCCTTGCTATGTCTACAATGGAGAGGGCCTATTTTAGCTTTCATCTTTCTGTCTTCTGATGCAAAAGATTTAAGTAGTTACAACATCAAGTTAATTAAGAAGTACCTGAAAAATGGAGGCAAATTTTTTTATGTATCACATCACATATCTGTTACACATGATACCAGATCTGAGACCCAGTCTTCATACAGTACCATCAAAATTAACTGCTATTTCAAAAAGACTTCAAAAAAATAAAATCAAACTGGTGGTTAAAACTATGTAATAACCCAGTGGTCCCTAAAGAAGTCAATATAAACAATGAATGACAAACAATATGAAAAGACAGCAGAGCAAGGTCAATGTAAAATGTAATATGTTTTGACGTACAAACTCAGTGGAGGTCCTGGGAGAGAGGTAAGAGTCATCCTGGAACTGGTAGCGATATGCTGTAGGATCCTAGTGATGAAAAGAAGAGACAGTAAGAAAACAGACAAACTAATATACAGCTTCATATCCACAGGGTTAAAAAGCTATCTGACAGAAGTGAAAGAGCTCTCACCCTGCCGACAGTTGAAGCCAGAGCCTCCAGCACCGCCTCTTTGCTCCTGTTCATTAAGTAACATGAATTTAGTGACTTGTTTTAAGGACACTTCATGCAAAGATAAATACTCACTATCTTGATTTGATTTGTATGACACCTAAAACTTCATTACTGATGTGGACACATACCATGTTTTCTTCCTGGGGATGACAATATTCTCTGTAGATTCTGCAACACCATGGAGGAAGAGGTATGATTTTAATGTAAATTACATTACAATCATTATTAATAACACTCTACCTCTGATGAAATATCCTTTGCTACTAGAATGTGATTTGGTCAAGTCAAATCCAAAATCTAGAGTATCTCCTGCTCTGACAAACTCTGTTAAACAGCAAGACTGGTTTTATTGTGTATTTTTCTTATCATCAACAAATACCACAACAGACCAAAACCAACAATGGTCTCGTTCACCTCTCACCACTTTCTGACTTCTCTACCCTGTCACTGGCTCTCACTCCCAAGCTCATTCATTCCTATTGAGGACAAATCTTTAAAAATAAGACAAATACACCATTGTATTTAAAAAAAACTGTTTAAATAATTTCACAGGAGTTAACGGTGCATTTGTTGGGGACTATTTTTAGCTGTGGATAAATACACATTTGGTAGACAAGAGACAGTATGACAGTGTAAGTGGGATTAAATCAATATGATCTAAAGTGACCATATTTATAGTAATGAAGGAACATGTTAACCGGTGCAAAAGTGAAGCTCACTGATGTATTTTTAACAGTTTCTGGACAACAATGAAGTTCCATTGATATATCAGTCTTCCATAGAGAATACTCTGCAGGATATTAGCAAACTTAACACACTGTTAAATCCTGAAGTGGCTGGGTTGTGTGTATATCTTAAAGCAGTTAGAAATTTCTCACATTGGCAGTGCCAAATTTTAAATATTGATCACAACTCTCTTTGCAATTTACCTTTATTAGCCTCGACAACTTGCTGTCGCAGTGCTGGAGTCCAACCAAAGCTCCTTGAAAAAAGAAGAAACATTAATGAGCTAAAAAGAAGAAGAAGTTGTTACATTTTGGAAAAGACTACTTGATTGACAGTCCTCTGGTTGGCTGTAGTGTTTCATAGATCCCCTTGTTGCACATTTAGTATCTACTGTTTAAGATTAAACCTATGAAAGGGTTAGGTCCAATTGTTGGAGGACTTGATCAAGACAAAAAGATAATGACAAACATTACTGCAACATTGTTGACATCAATACAGTGGAAAAGCAGAATGATGACAGACAGCATCCGTTCTTTGATTAAAAAAAGTCCAGTGTTCAACACATTGATAAATACAAACTGTATGAACCATTTGAGGTAAGGTACCGTTCAAATGTCTCGCGCTATATCTACTTAAATATCAGTTTGCAGCAGTGATGTAAGTTAGCTTCATGAAGAAATGACCTCCTGTCAAATGATGCTAGCTGCAGCTGCCAGACTCGTACAGCAAACGAATAAAATGATATAAAAGCCGACTGAATGACAGTCTGGTTCAAAACATAGCTGTAAACCGTTTCTTACCTGTAACCCCACAACTGCTCCAAGTTATTTATCACAAATCGTCCGTTTCTCTGGATGCAATGCCCTACGTGCCTCCCGGACGCCGCCATGTTGTCATACACTGAAGGCTGCTGGGAGAGAGAAACCATACGGGCCAAAAAAAGGGGGGAGAAGAAAATAATAACAGTTTTTCCTTTGGAGAAACACTATGATTTTCACACACTTTACCATAAGTAAACTCTAACAATTTTCATTAGATATGATATTTTAAATGTGAAAATGTATCGAGTTGATAGAAAGCCTACTCATCTTTATCTGTGTCTCCCCTCGGTTTGGTTTGACCTCTGACGGCCCCACGTGTAATAGTGGGGCAGCTGGTGTGTCGCGTGTGGTGTTAGTGGACGCCATGAATTTAAATCAATAAACGTTAAAAGTCAAGATAATTCTCCAACATGTTGTTTGGAAAAGATGTGCCATGGAGGCGTTTGGAGGGCATGTCGTTTGGCATGTACTCTGCCGAAGAGATAAGGTGAGAGACAGCTTGTTAGCTTTTGGTTTAATGCTAAACACGCGTTCAAAACAACATGCCTGCTCATGGTAGCATGCTATAATGTTATGTTCCAGTGGTCTTCTTGCAAATTACACACAAACTGTAGCTAGGAGTTGTTGTGTAAGTGTTCGTAATAACTAAGTCATGTGTCGTAGTCATTAATTTTGCACATAAATCCAGCCACATCAGGATGCTAAAATATGGGGAGTGCCCTTTTGATAGGAGTAGAAGTCATTCTAACCTTTCTCTAACATATTTATTCTGAGGTCTGAGGACCCTGGATTGACCCTACAAGGACCTCATCAAGTTGACACAATGAAAAAGCCTTATAAGTTATTTTATGTAGTGGTAAAGCTGCAAAGAATCCAATGCGTTTTGGGAAGCAGTTGATAATATAATGCTTTTGTCTTATCTCCTGTCCAGGAAGTTGAGTGTGAAGGCGATCACTAACTCAAGGTTCCTGGATGCAGTTGGGAATGTGGCCCCAAACAGCCTGTATGATCTGGCACTGGGACCAGCAGATAACAAAGAGGTACATGTCTACTGAAGTTGTATTACATACCTGTACAATACTCTAATGACACATCTGTAACATGCCATACACCAGTCTGTTCCTGAGTTCTGGTTGTACCTCTGTTTACCATTCTCTGTATTTAAGATTGTGAGCATTAAGTTTCAGAAAGTCTTTTTTTTTCATGTTACTATCTGTTATTGTTTTCTCCAGGTGTGTTCCACTTGCTGTCAGGACTTCAACAGTTGTCCAGGACACCTGGGGCATGTGGAGCTACCTCTACCTGTGTACAACCCATTGTTCTTTGATGTAAGCATGTCCACAAATACACTATAAACACGTACATACACATAAAATACACACATGTTCACAGTGGATTATTACTGGGCGTAACAATGACAATCATGGACCCACCTGAGGGGTTAATGTCTGATAAATGAGTATTGATTTTTAAATCACTCTCTCCTCTCCTTCATCAGAAACTCTACCTGTTGATTCGTGGTTCCTGTCTGGCGTGTCACATGTTAACGTGTCCCCGAGCTGCCATCCACCTGCTGCTAAACCAGCTTAAGTTAGTGGACCATGGTGCCATGCAGGAGGTCTACCAGATAGAGCAAGTTCTCAGCCAGGTGTGTTTATACCTGATGTGGAAACTCATTTTAGCAGGACCTTACAGACAGAAGCACACTTTATCCAATAATAAAACTACTGTTTATCGTTTCAATACTTGATTGATTAATCTGGAGGACGAGAGAATGGTGACGTTCTTATATTGTGAATTTGTTGAATAAGGTTAGGTATTTATTCATAGTGAAAGTGTAACCTATTGCCTTTCACCTGAGGAGGGTTGCTCTACTGACTAATGGAGGTTAATGGTGTTGTGTAAATATGTGATCAGTTCTTTGCTTATAATTTATTTATGAATGTGTGTGAACTGTGTTTGTTAGTACTTGGAGGAGAATCCCAAAGCCTCTGGAGATGAGATTGAGCAGGTGCTTAAAGAGTTTACAGACACAGTACTCGGAGTGAACGCTGAAGATTCAGAGAGCACCAAACCAGTGAGTACACACTCTACACACAAGTACACAGACATGCGGAAGCGTTGACACTCAAATACAAACACATACACACAACTCAAATCAGTCTCTGACTTTTTAATATGATTTAAACCATTTTGTAATATACACTGATTTCAGCCGGACCAGGCTTAATGTGTTTTTGTGTGTTTTCCAGATTAAACATCTCGTTGAAAAGAAGAGCAGTCTGATAAATGACTTCTGGAGGATCCACATGAAAACTAGGAAATGTCCATGGTGCAGGTAACTGGATAAAAAATTACAAAACTTAATTCTCATTTAATTTAGGTCTGAGATAGTTTCTTAACCCTTAACCTTAACCTTAACCCTCTTGTGGAGCCGGCCGTACAGTACTCACAGATATTTATATTTATATTATATATATTATATATTATATAATATTATATATAATATTATATATATATGAAATAAATATATATGTAGTTGTATATAAATGTGGTGGTCTTGGTTTGAATATGTGTTGGACAATGAAACACTAAATTAGGAACTAAGTGATTGGCGTCTATGACCAAGGTGAATTAATCTGACCTCTATGCCTTGTTTTCTACATTCATAAACTAACAGAAAATGTCTGCCACTCTATTTGTGTTATATATGATTCTAATGGAATATGGAATCACCATTAGTGATTAGTGATTGATTATTTAGTAGCACAGTGATAATGTGTAGTATCTCTATACCTAGATGTTGTTAATAGTCGTGTGTGTGTGTGTGTGTGTGTGTGTGTGTGTGTAGGAGTGGCAGATTTGCAGTGCGTCGTGAGCACAACACCAAGCTGATTATCACAATGCCGTCAGGAGTACAGACCAGTGAAAGTACTGATGGTGAGTAATATATTTTTTTAATAAAGTGAGAATATCTTGTAATCTATGCAATTCATTATTGGGACAACAATTATTCATTATATAACATATTGTTAACTGCTGAGTGATGGAGTAATTTGTAGGAAAGAGCCTGTTTCTTTTTGTGGAGGTGGTGTATAACCTGTAACTCTACACCAACAGGGCAACCCTTGCCTATACATATGTACATACAATAAATAATTTTGACCTTGTTCTGCTTCATATCTCTTTGCAGAAGATCTGGTGGCTGGGAAGAGAGTCTACCTGACCGCTAGTACTGCCAGAGAACACACCAGCAAACTGTGGGAGAAAGAAGGTAGGTCAACAGTACCGTCCTCTGAGGGCTCCTTACCCTTACTGAAGATGAACATTTAAATAAAGTGTGGTCTCATTATATGGTTCACAGGACTTGAGTACTATCACATCTGAAAAGAAGCACATGAATAAACTGTAACATTTAAAAAATCATTAAAAACTGAATTATAGGTTGTAAATATCTAAAGATAGAATACGTAATAAAGATCTTGTACAGAATCATTTGTAATTGATGACATACCCTCTAGATTTAGTTTTACTATTGCTTATGTTTGTTTCTTACATTATTTTTATTGATTTACTACTTTTAACCTTTTTTTGAAGTGGTTTAAACCATTTTCAATAATGTGATATACATAATAATCACTTAAACATGTAATAATCACAGTTTTGTTTCCCTGGCATTTTTGAGAATTCAAAATAGGAAAAGAAACCATTTTGGTGACGAGAAGGAATAGTTTTCAAAATCTAATCCCTCTCTCCTCTTTTATTTCCAGGTTTCTTCCTGAAGTGTCTGTTCTCTGGGCTTGAGGAGGCCACGGCATCAAAGGAGGGAGAGAAAGGTTTCTATCCTGACCTCTTCTTCCTGGAGCTGTTGGTGGTCCCACCTTCCAGGTACAGCTTTTAATGTAAAACTAAAAATGTTAAAATTTCACAGCAAAGGTCCATATAATACTTTGTTTGAAATCAGAAGCAAAACATATGCGTACAACATAATTTGGTTTATATTGCTATGTAAGTAGAATTTATTTTCTGTGCTAATAGAGCCAAACACCAAATGTATGCTCTGCCTGTCAGGTATCGTCCAGTCAATCGACTGGGTGACCAGATGTTCACTAACGGTCAGACAGTCAACATGCAGGCTGTCATGAAGGACTGTGGAATCATAAGGAAACTTCTGGCTCTGATAGCCGGCGAGAAAAACACTCAGGAAGAAGAAGAGGTGAGATAATGTGATGACCTGTGATTCACGTATTAAAAGACATATCTGCACAAGTCCAGTCAAAGCGTCTTATTTCTGTGGTACAGTCAGACACATGGTGATTGTCGGTGTGTTACATTTCAACTGGATAGTTGGATTTTCCAAGATCCCAGTTGGAAATTTCAACTAGAACGCCCACTGAAGTCGGGTTAGTGACTCAGAAAGTTGGAATAACTTGACCAACCATGACCTCAAAATCCAAGATGGCTGCTCTGTGCGTCAACAAAAGTGAAAGCTGTTGTAATATACTGTTTATTAACACTTCTGGCTTATTTTTGTCTCATTAAATCAGTCGTACACACGGTACTGTCCAACTTCTATTTTTGGACATATGTGTAATGCGTTATTATTAACTAGTATTGCTAACAATAATAACAACAACAAGCAAGCTACAACTGGAATGCTATTGACTCAGGTGTGACGTCATTCCCAGCTCTGACATCTGACGTGCGAGGTAAATGAAAGGCAGCATTTGAAAAGAACTCATCGTCTTTTTCAGGCTGCTGAACAGACAGACCAGTCGTTCCTGTCGGGGATCCCTGGGCAGACATTGACAGATAAACTCTACAACATCTGGATCCGACTGCAGAGCCACGTCAACATCGTCTTTGACAGTGACATGGACAAAATGATGACAGAAAAATACCCTGGAATCAGACAGGTATCGCATCATACACAGTGTGACATGTTGTGTTGTTAATATTAGGTTACTATGTTTTTCCAGATACCTCTCACCATAGTATAACAATCTGTGACAGTGTAGCGGATCAGCATGTGACAGTGTAATCAACCTAACCTGGCTGATTGTCTCCTCTCCTCTGCCAGATCTTGGAGAAGAAGGACGGATTGTTCCGGAAACATATGATGGGCAAACGAGTGGACTATGCTGCACGATCTGTCATTTGTCCAGACATGTACATAGGGACCAACGAGATAGGAATACCTATGGTACGTCTGACTCTGATGGATTTTTCCCTATGAGAAAGAGTGGCTAACTTTCTTGTAGAATGAAGAACATGAATAACCAGAGCTTGAAGTTTGAGCCAGAATTAAACAAACTCTGTGTCTCTTTTGTGTTTTTGTGCAGGTGTTTGCCACCAAGCTGACCTACCCTCAGCCCGTCACTCCGTGGAATGTAAAGGAGCTCCGCCAGGCCGTTCTTAATGGACCGAACGTTCACCCCGGGGCTTCCATGGTGATAAACGAGGATGGTAGGAGAACCATCTTATCGGCTTCCAGCCTCGCACAGAGAGAAGCGGTTGCCAAGCAACTGCTGACGCCCTGTCCTGGTCCCCATAAGATGCCAATGAAGATAGTGAGTTCAGTACTCTGGTTGTACACTTAAAGATACAAAACCTTGTGGTCCCTGCAGTGTGAGTTAACTTTTTACTGTCAGTGGTATAACTCTTCACTCTACTGTTTTTTTTCGTGTCTCCAGGTGAATCGTCATATAAAGAATGGAGATGTTTTGTTACTCAACAGACAACCAACTCTGCACAGACCCTCCATACAAGCTCATTCTGCCCGCATCCTCCCAGGAGAGAAGGTGAGAGCTCATCGCTCCAGGCTGATTTGTTTATTGTGATTTATTATATGAGCACAGTGGAAGTTGTATTTAAATATATGATAACTACATTTTTTTACGTTATCTCTGCTTGATGTTACAGGTTTTAAGGCTCCACTATGCCAACTGCAAGGCATACAATGCTGACTTTGATGGAGACGAGATGAATGCTCACTTCCCTCAGAGTGAGCTGGGCAGAGCGGAGGCCTACATGTTAGTCAGCACCGACCAGCAGTACCTCGTCCCCAAGGTGGGTATATACACACTGCAGGTGCGGGACTTTCATGTGACACTGCACAGTAGCTAATGTAATCGGTTAGCGATCGGACATTACTACAAAACTGAGGATTTATTGTTTTTATTTTGTTGTTTTTTATTGTTTTGTTGTCTTCCAAAATGTGTTGGTTGAGTTTTAAGTTTTTTTAAGATGTGTAATTTGTTCGTCTAGTCATATAGCAGTTACATTTATACTATTTAATTAAATGCAGATATGTATTTCAGTCTCAAGCTGTAGGGTGATTTAAATGCTCTGTCAGAGTTCACATTCACCAGTAAGTGACAGTAAACATGAGGAAACAGCACACAGGTGATCAAAAATTATTAAGTACTCGTTCTCTATATTGTTGAGCACTGGTCCAATTCACACTGGGAAGCCATTTTTTTAGTTTTGTAGCTTATATATTCTTTCACATGCACTCACAGAGGGAGCGCTCAAGTATTTCTTCTTCTCTCTCCCTCTCTCTGTTTAGGATGGTAAACCTTTAGCAGGGCTGATCCAGGACCATATGGTGTCAGGGACGAGAATGACGATACGAGGCTGTTTCTTCACCCGAGACCAGTACACTGAGTTGGTGTACAGAGGACTGACCGACAAACCAGGCAGAGTTAAACTGCTGCCGCCGGCCATACTCCGACCACAGCAGCTGTGGACAGGAAAGCAGGTGAATGAACTTGTGTCGTTTTGGTCCCTGTTTCAGTAAAAACTCTTTAGCTTGGCTTAGCTTGAAGATAAATAAAAGTAATAATAAGTCTGTTTAGCCCAAATTTTGAAGTTAGAATTTCCCTATGTTCAGATACAGAAACATGAATGCGTTGAATTTAATGTGTAGTGTGAACACCACAATTTAGATTTTACTCTCGTTGATAAGGGGGCACCAGTCCTCAGGGAGGACAACAATGAATTATTTCATTGATTAATGTGATCAATCTCATATCAGAAACCGTAACTTCTCGATTCAATGGATCTCCAGTCTCTACGTCAAAAGGATACAACAGGACAACAACTGGGTGTAAATAAAGGAGTTTATTAACTAAACTACTATCTACAGAGTAAATGCAAGGTGTAATAATCATAAAGATGAAAATAATAATGAAATGAGCAGTGTGATGAGTTGGCAATGGTGGGAGAGAATATGTTATGGCTATACACTATGACTATACAGCTAATGATACTACATCTACGAATTCGGTTTGATGATTAAATATTGCTATATTTCAACGTCAACCCAGTCATGAGCAGAGTGTTAAGTTCCTACTGTGAGTTGCGCTGTAGTTGGAGACCCTCGGCTGGAACCCAGGTGGCTGTGGTTGCCGTGGTAACCCCAGAGATGCAGGATCTAGGTGGATTCTCCTGGAGGCCGTGTCTCGTTATCACGATGACGGATTCTGCCGGTGTCTCAGCGATTCAGCTCTGGTGGAGTTTGCCAGGAGACTTTCTGTCTCGTGGCACTCTTGATTTCTGCTCGGCTTCTCTGCATGTTACATTTCAACCATTCTAGGATAGAAATATGGGGATTGACTTATTACATAGAAACAACACATGCTTTACAGAAAAGTTAGATATTTAATTATATATTCTTCCTCGGATCTGTGTCTGTGAAGAGTGGTCTGCTGGTCACTACCCAGGGTTGGAACGTGGGTTGTAGTTTATGACTCTAAAGAGGCACAGAACAAAAGGGGGAAAGACTAGTTTGTGTGTGTGTGTGTGTGTGTGTTCATGCACAGCACAGAGAGGCCAGGATTCACACCTTTAGTGATAATCAGTCCTTTTTGTTTTACTTTTGTGTATAAGAAACAAAGAAATATCAATAGACAGAGTTGCATTGTTACGGACTGGAAATTTTGCCTATATTCTCCAGTTTGCCTAGTGTCCTCTGGAGCTGACCATATTTGATCCATGGTCTGGTTGTGTATCCCTCTGGCATGCTAACAGCTCGTCTGTTTGTGAGATAAGGGTCCTTTGTCTCTGCTTCCTATCAATTTGATAGTTTGATGGTGGGAAGAGTAACAAAGTGTCAATTTCGGGTCATAACTCTGCAGTCCTTACAATGAATTTTAATGGCTTGTGACTGATGCCAGACCAGGTATGTACGCTACGAATGTCTCTGCAAGCTCAGTTATACTATTGTGTCAATAATCTGATATATCTCGTAGGTGGTGTCTACGCTCCTGCTGAATGTTATCCCACGGAAAGCAGTGCCTCTCAACCTGGTTGGCAAATCAAAAATCCCCAGCAAAGCGTGGATCCAGGACCCCCCACGTGCTGCTCCGGGATACAAACCTGACAGCATGTGTGACTCACAGGTACACAAGGATTTCCCCTTCCAATCCAAATCGACGTCTCAGCATAGATACAGCTTGATTCGAACTCATGCGTCATTTTGTTTTTGTTTGGCATACTGAAACTTGTCTCCATGAGAATGAAATAAATTACTAAAAAAAAAGATTTTTGAAACAAGCATGGACAGCAAACTGGGTAAAGCAAGGGGTAGAAGTATTCATATTTCAGGCAAAGTCCAAACTCTCCCCTTTTTCTTTGTTTCCCAGGTGGTGATTCGCCAGGGGGAGCTGTTGGTGGGGGTTTTAGACAAAGCTCACTATGGCTCCTCAGCCTACGGTCTGGTCCACTGCTGCTATGAGCTGTACGGAGGAGAGACCAGCGGCAAACTGCTCAGCTGTCTGGCTCGACTCTTCACTGCCTACTTGCAGCTATACAGAGGCTTCACTCTGGGTAAGAACCCAGATACAGTAAATATGAGACACACGCCTGACACTGAAATATTACAGACAGGCACAATCAGCTTAAATCTGTCAGCTGCTGTGTGTAATTCACTGAAGATAGAAGATGAGTGTCATGTTTAAGCCCTATTTGTCTGCGTGTGTAGGTGTGGAGGACATTCTGGTGAAACCGGGTGCCAATAAGCAGAGGAAGAAAATCATTCAAAAATCACTAACGATCGGCACCAAAGTGAGTTTGAGCACAAGCTCGTTCTGCTGAAATTGAAAGCCTGATGTTGTTTTGATTATTGACGTTAAATCTATTAAACGTAAATACATAGAGCGCCTTCATTAAGGCACAATTTTTGTGTTTATCAATAAAAGACGTGACGAATAGTCCACAGTAAATGAGTGTTTAGAAAGATTGCAGCCTTGTCAAATTCAGTGCCTCCTCCTCAGTGGATGCCACTGGCCAAAATGGCTGCCACAGTGAAGGTGTAGTTCATGGGCCCCACGGTGCTTCAACATCGCCACTGGGGATAAATATGTACTACACACAGACATAAACTGCTACAGTCAAAGAGCACTATTATGCTGTCATGACTGATTGCTGGAGTCTTAACTATATTACCTTCAGCCTCTCCAATAAACAGAAACTTTCAATTCAAAACTTTCTGCCACAGTGGGCCTCATGCAAAATCTTTTTCTAAATCTCTTATTTTTTTGTGAGGTTTTCTGATGCAAATGCTCCAAAACAATTAGAAAATATTAATAGAAGGCTATAGCTACCAATGATGTTTGAACAGAGCACAGCTTTACTGTGACAGAAATAAAAAAAGAAATTAGACACTAAAAAACATCTTTCTAAAGTTAAGTGTCCTTAGCTAATATGGGATGTGACAGCTGCAGAGGTTTAATACAAGAGAATACAAATACAGGAAGCTATGATGATGGTAATGTGCTGAACTGAATATACATTTAGCATTAAGTTTCTTTTGGTTATATTATTTTTGTTGAGTTTGTTTGAGTTATTCTTACATTAGGCCCAATATCATCGAATTCATCGAAACTACCACTAATTGTTTCAAATTCCACACATCGTGGCTTTAAAAACAACCTAAAATGAAATAATCTTCAGTGGAAAGGGGTAAATTAATTGTTCCTTGTTTTTCAGGCCCTCCAGGCAGCCTTCAACCTGCCCTCCAACGTGGATCAAGCTGAGGCTCAGAGCCGCTGGCAGGACGCTCACCTCAACCCAGACCAGAGAGACTTCAGCATGGCCGACCACAAGTTCAAAGAAGTGGCCAACCAAGTGAACAATGACATCAACAAGGTCACTATTACTACTGGTACCAACACTACTGCAACTGCTGACAGTCAGTACAGTGAACATTACTCATGTTGGAACACTTTGTGAAATGGAATAGACATTTCCACCACAGAAGCTTTCACAGGGGATCATGAACTTTTTGTGGAAATGAGTATAGTTCCTGACTTCCACTCAGTCCGTTCCAAAAACAAGAATGTCCCTGATCCATGGAAAGTACTTTGAACGATGTGTGTGTCGTAATTATTCACATGTGGTGAAAATGCATGCAGACGGTCTCTACAGCTCCTAGTCCAGCTCCTGAGTTTGGTTCCTGTGATTCATAGTTCCTGATTGAAGAAGTCAGTTGATCTATGTACTTTAACGTCCTGTTGGCTCCTGTACTGACATCTTTTCATCAGTCATGGTCACTTACAGAGCAGCTTGCAACTTTTGTGTCACGTGATTTCTTCTCATTTTCTGTCAGCTTTCTTTTCTTTTCTTCCAAAGATGAATGAAATAGAAATTGATATTTTTTCGAAAGTAATGCATGTGGTCAGACATGATGAAAATACTGTCTTGTGTGTCCATAGGTGTGTATGCCCATCGGACTCCACACATCTTTCCCAGACAACAACCTTCAGCTGATGGTCCAGTCAGGTGCCAAGGGATCTACTGTTAACACCATGCAGGTAAACCCCCCCCCATCACCACACACACGCACACACACACACACACATATACACCAACATGCCCAATTTAAGATACACTAAAACACACTTTTATACACACAATAAAATGCAATCTACCACACACACTCACAGTAAAGAGATGTGAGCCTCATGCAGACTGCCACACACACACACACACAACTCACTAACTCACTAACTGTGTTTCAGATTTCGTGTCTGCTAGGTCAGATCGAGTTGGAGGGCCGTAGGCCTCCACTGATGCCCTCTGGGAAATTCTTGCCATGCTTCCAACCATATGACCCTGCACCTGGGGCTGGAGGCTTTGTCTCTGGAAGATTCCTCACAGGCATCAAACCACAGGTACATGAAGAGAGCTGTGAGTGTGTCTGAGTTGTGTAGAGGATTTGTTTTAAAAGCTGCTTTTCCAAAGTAACTCTTGCAAGTCTTTTAAATGAGAATGACTTTTTAACTTAAGCTCTTTCAGAGGTTTTACAAGACTCTCGTTTCATCATGATACCTTTTCTTCCTTGTCTGTGTTTAATCTGTTGTGTTCAGGAGTTTTTCTTCCACTGTATGGCTGGCAGAGAAGGACTGGTCGACACAGCTGTGAAAACCTCTAGATCAGGATACCTGCAAAGGTAGTGTAAACTTCACTGCTCAATGAACCAGAAAAGATTTGCAGTTGTCTTGGTATATTTTAGTCACAGCAACCCTGTAAAGCCCACTCAACTCCTGGAAGTATTATTACTTTTGACTCAAACACACTGACAAGTTAAGTACAGAAAGATATTTTGTACCAAAATTCAGATGATTCACGAAGGAAACTCTGCTTCAACATGGCTCTGGCATTTGTGGAATTGTTCATTTAAATTTTAGTAGTGCAAAATACACCCTCAGCCTCACTTATCTTTTTCTTCTATCCTCCCTCACATTCTCTCCTCTGCAGATGTGTCATAAAGCATCTGGAGGGTTTGGTAGTGCAGTACGATCTAACAGTGAGAGACAGCGATGGATCTGTGGTCCAGTTCCTGTACGGTGAAGATGGGCTGGATATCCCCAAGACTCAGTTCCTGCAGCCAAGACAATTCCCCTTCATAGAGGACAACTATGAGGTAAAACACCAACATAGCCTCGTGAACATGTTGTAAATAATTACGTGTATATAAATAATGCTGATGGAACTTTAGGCAGTGAGAAAATGATTATATACATTTTGTATGTATATACGTAGTTTGTTTGAATGTCTGATGTTGTTGTCTTATTTTGGCTTTTTACCTTGACACCCTCACAGGTGCACCACACGTTATTCAAACAAATAATCATGGGGAGAACATATTGGGATTATTTTAGCTGTGGTTTAGGAAGTGTAACTGAGGTCTAAAACATGAAGCTACATGAAAAATTATCATTTATAACAGGGGTTTTCAACATCTGACAACGTGGGCCCCTCTTCAGGAAGGGTCGAGAGAGCTGTCCCATCTGAGACCCCCTTTTTTATCATTGATTTGGGAAAGAGCGACCTGGAGTTCCCATAATGTGGAGGCTAACTTTAGGATTGTGTCTTTTTAGTCTGTATTTGGTGACATTTTGGCAAATTGGTTAGCTATTTGCAGTGCATTCGTGTACTTCCAGACAAGTATCACTGGATTACATTGATACTAAATTAAACTTTAAAACATAAAACGGAGTTCTGGAGCTAGAAGCAGCATCTTTTTTATGATTTCTAAGCAGATTTATGTATTTTCATTCACAATGGACATCTGAGATAATGATGTCCTCTCAGTTTGTCGGATAATCTGTTACCAGGCAGATCCCCCAACTTTTGCTGTGACCTGCGCTGTGTGACCACTGTACCACAGCATATCGAGCTGATTGACGTGCTGCATGCATGATGTAAATCAGGCAGTCAGTGGTTCATGTGAAACAGAGCACTATGGAGTCAACTGACAACTTGAAAAAACTTGGGGGGGAAGTTGTGGTGAGTCGAGGCTGTCATGACATGTCAGCAGCACAGGAGTCATCCAAAAACCCATTAGACATTAGCGTTTAGTAGCTTATTTTCTTAGTGGATCTGTGTTTTTCTCTGCTCACCGCATCTTTCTCACCTTTTTCACCCCTGACCAGTTTGCATGCCTGCTGATGACAACAGCAACAGCCCCATGAGGATTAGTCAATTAGTCCACAGAAGATGGTGAATTCACATTTAAAAGATTGCAGCCTTGTCAAATTCAGTGCCTCCTCCTCATTGGATGCTACTGGCCAAAATGGCTGCTACAGTGAAAGTGTGGTTCATGGGCCCCGCTGCTCTCCAGCGTGGCTGCTGGGGATAAATATGTACTACACACATGAGCTACAGCCAGGTGACAGTGTGCCTAAAGACTGGAAGTAGGGGGAAACAGCTAGCCTAGCTCTCTCCAAAGTAAAAAACAAAAACATGCCTACCAGAAGGTCTAAAACTCACTAATTAACTTGATGATTCTTGAAACAGTTACAGCAGGTAACTACCTCTGAATCTACAAATAGCCTTTTTACATTTTGCCTTTTTGTAGGGATTAAACAAGATGATTCGTCTGCATTAGAAGTGCTTCTGTAAATTAGCCGGCTCTAGTCCGTTCTTAACATGAAGACATGACCGTGATATTCATGTAAATCTCTTTGCTAGATAAGTGTATTTCCCAGAATGTTGAACATACTTTGATAATACCAATCTTGACAATTTTGTGTCTTAAATGTGGCTTAGCTGAATGTATCCCTTCTGTTAAAGCACATTTTACTTTATCTTCCTACTCAGAAAAGCCCATAGTGTCACATAATTACAAAAAATATTTGTACATTTTTTATTTTCCAGTAAGAAGTATCTTATGTAGAAGTAGAATGGATCAATGATACACTGTTTGTGCACTTCAGCGTGACACACTCTGACACACTTTCCACTTTCCCTCCCTAACCAATGTTTGTTTTTGGTGTTGGTGAAACTGTTGACCTTGTGCTTTCTCACAGTTGAAGCTTTTTCTTTTAGCACATAGATTAGAAGCTCTAGTGTTTGAATAACACATTAATAACCACACGGCTCCCCACAGAGCTGAACAGTCGAAGGGAAACAACCATGTATGTGCTTTGCCTGTTAGGTCATCCAGAGGTCCCAGGGCCTGGACAAGGTTTTGGCACGTTTGGACCCTCAGACCGCCAGTCAACACTTTGCAGCCATCCAGCGCTGGAAAGCAAAGAGAGAGAATGCAGGTCCACGGAGAGGTACATAACAACATGTGTCAAGGCAGTGAAATGTTCTCACATCTTCAGTTGCTCAAACCACTGATAATCAGTTTAATCAGATTTATTATCATTTGTTGACTAAAATCTAAATAGTTTTTGTCTTAAGTCTTTTTCAAAGTTTGAGGCTATATTAAAGGTGAAGATTTTTATCATTAACCCTCTTGTTAGAGTTCAGTATTGAGCAAGAGTGATTGTGGTTTCACTGCCTTTTTAAGTTATGTAAGAAATCCGTGGATGTGCTCAGCAGAAAATCAACAGCCCATGAAATAATTTAACTTGAATGTATGATCAAGTGTATGATGTGCGGAAAGTAGGAGCAAATAACACAATAAGATGAAACTGGTTATTCTGCTCTACATAATCATTTTAATCGAAGAAAAATAGTATTTGAATTTAAATATTTTTAATTACATAAATAGGTTTCAGTGATAGACATTGTTTTCTACTGCCTCATCTTTGATGGTTTATTTTTGTTCTGGAAAAACTGTAAGAGAAGTTGTGGTATTTTTTTCAGCCTTGAACGTCAGCAGATTTTTCAGACTATCACCAGTTAGAAGGTTAGAACAACCTACATGAAGTAATTTTATGAACTCTCCAGGCTTCTCTTATCTTTATGATAGTGGCTGGACAGTGAAGAGAGATTTCAGTGAGTAAATCAAACTTAAATTTGGGGCGACAAAAACATGATTTTTAAAATGAGGGAGGCTTGTTCCTCCACTACTACAATTAGTGGCCCCCTCCAACACAAAGTAGATTTCTAGTACATCACCTGTATTAGAGGATCATTGGATCAGGACAATTAAGTGAAACGTTAACGAGACATATTAACATTGCTTTTGTGAATATATACCATGTAATGTTTGTGTGTATTTGTGTGTTTTAATCTGTGTCAGGAGCGTTCCTGTTGTTTTCCCAGAAGAAGTTGGCCAAACTAAAACAGACTGAGCAAACAACACAGTCAGATGTCAATGGCAGAAATGCTGTCATGCTGCAGGTATTTATGCACAGAAAAGTTAAAGTGTACAAAGCATCGGTCAGATTTGGCACCAGACTCTGTTCCTGCAGCCTTAGTGCAAACAGTCCTTATCTCCAGCCTAGTGTAACCAAACTGTAACTTAAACTGTGCTCCCTCCGCAGGTTGCACAGCAGTGGCACTCTCTGGATGAAGCTAGCAGATTAAAATACAGCAGGAAGTCCTCTCGCTGCCCTGAGCCCTCGCTCGGCTCGTTTAGGCCAGATGTCTGCTTCGGATCAGTGTCTGAAACCTTTCATGACATCACAGAGAAATATCTGCAGAACAGAGGCAGCATGAGTAAAGACACGCTAGACACCCACAGGTACTGAACGTGAGCGTTTTCACATGGGTAAAGAAATTTCTACATTGTAACATTTAATGCAATTTTATGAAGCCAGAAAATCAAAGAAAATACTTTACCTTTGCATATGAGGATTTTTAGTATTCTGCTTTTGTGAGCTCTTCTGGTCCTCAGCAAGACAATAAGGTCAAGGGATCGATGGAAAAAGGCCTCAGGCTTTTACTTGATTTGACTAATTTGACTAGCTGCTGCTCACAGTCCAGCCCATTAAATGGTCTCATTTTAAATAACTCAAATTTGTGGGAAAGGTTCATCGCCACAGGGCATAGTGTCTGACACTGCAGGTGTGCGTGTTTTTAGGATTAAACGGAGGATATTACTACATTTGATGCATTAATTCAGCTTAAATATATGTATGTATTTATGCAGGCTTAAATCTACCATTTACACATGAACCACTTAAATAAATAAATGAGACAAATTTCAGTAGTCCTCCTGTGGTGAAAGCGTAACAATACATAAAATAATGATACAACACCTTCATCTGAATGTGAAAACAGGCCAGTAACTCCCAAAACTGAAAGAATATGATAAATAAAATAAAATCCTCATTTAGTCGACCACCGCACTGTATTTGTTTCTTAAAGCTAGACATAAATTCAACTTTTAATATAGTTCAGTTGCTACACAACACTTTCCCCACTTCACAAGTTATCATACACCTACCATCGCCGTCCTTATTTTGTTTTATCCAACCACAGCTTCTGTGGAACCAAGCTAAAAAAACAAAACAAGCAATGTGCTTTAAGAGAGCACATGATTCTTGTCACAGACAGGTTTAAATCCTAATCCACAGCTAAGTGAATGACAACAGCAACAGCCCCATGTGGATTAGTCCACAGCTGATGGTGAATTGATGTTGAAAAGATTGCAGCCTTGTCAAATTCAGTGCCTCCTCCTCAGTGGATGCCACTGGCCAAAATGGCTGCCACAGTGAAGGTGTGGTTCATGGGCCCCGCTGTTCTCAAACATGGCTGCTGGGGATAAATATGTACTACACACAAACAGTAAGTGGCATGAGCTAAGCTAGTTTTACACTGCAGTTTCCATGACAAATACCCAACTGTTTGGTGTCTTTTATTGTCTTTAAATATAGAAGTAATTAATAGTAGCATCAAATACTCAAGAGTAAATATCCCCTTTACACATGATCAATTCTATAAATACATGAGATTAATTTCGACACGGCAGTCTTGTAGTGCTGAAAACATAACAATAGATAAAATTACGTTTCTTTCCTCATTCAGTCGATCGCTGCACTGTTTGTTTCCTAAAGCCAGAAACAAATTAAGCTTGTAATTTAGTGCCGTTACTACACAACACTTGCAGAACATTCACAAGGTGTTTTTTAATATTTTAACCAGTGTGACAAGACAATTGACAACATCACAATACAATAATGATTCCTGATAAATAAAAAAACCTATTTATATATGTGTCTCTACCTGTTGTGTCTTGTTGAGAGGTTGATTTTACTCATCATCCTTCTCTCTCTGTGTGTCCTCAGCCTTCGCCAGCTGTTGTACTATAAATGGCAGCGTTCACTGTGTGATCCAGGTGAAGCGGTTGGTCTGCTGGCAGCTCAGTCCATAGGTGAGCCCTCCACGCAGATGACCCTCAACACCTTCCACTTTGCTGGCAGAGGAGAGATGAACGTCACTTTGGGAATACCTCGGTAATGTCACCTCCTCCCTCCTTATTTACCTTTTTTATGTGGATATTAACAGATCATTCAGAGCATACATATTCAATTTCAACTTCAGCCTTTATTATTATGTATTATATTAAACTCACTGTTAATAAAACTATAAACATAGAGCACTTTTCTGACCCATTAGCAGTGAGCATATATAGCATATATTTCAGGCAAGCATGACTAGCACACATGCTGCATATAGTGGCGTTGGGTTAAAGCATAACAAATATGAAATATTTTTACCTCTCTCTGCATTGTTTGGGGCTTTGGTTAATGTCTAAGTCAATTAACTAAACACAATTTTCTGATGCACCTTTTTATTGTGCACTACTCTTTCGAATTCTCCACAAAGTTTTTAAAGTTAAATTAGTGAAAATAGAATACGTTTTTTTCTGAGAAACCAGTGTCCATATTGTAGATGTACTTCTAACTCAGTGACAAATGGTAAGTGAGCAGGAGCCTCAATTGAGCCTCCTTGAACAAAGGATGTGAATACACAGTCATTCTATAAAAAAAGGAAGTCTGACAGGTGCTATCACCGTTGTGTGTGATGGTAGTTCCCCACATTTCTAATACATAAGTCTATTTTCAGACCCTGAATAAACAGGGGTTGGACAATGAAACGGAAACGCCTGGTTTTAGACCACAATAATTCATTAGTATGGTGTAGGGCCTCCTTTTGCGGCCAATACAGCATCAATTCGTCTTGGGAATGACAGATACAAGTCCTGCACAGTGGCCAGAGGGATTTTGAGCCATTCTTCTTGCAGAATAGTGGCCAGGTCACTACGTGATGCTGGTGGAGGAAAACGTTTCCTGACTCGCTCCTCCAAAACACCCCAAAGTGGCTCAATAATATTTAGATCTGGTGACTGTGCAGGCCATGGGAGATGTTCAACTTCACTTTCATGTTCATCAAACCACTCTGTCACCAGTCTTGCTGTGTGTATTGGTGCATTATCATCCTGATACACGGCACCGCCTTCAGGATACAATGTTTGAACCATTGGGTGCACATGGTCCTCCAGAATGGTTCGGTAGTTCTTGGCAGTGATGCGCCCATCTAGCACAAGTATTGGGCCAAGGGAATGCCATGATATTGCAGCCCAAACCATCACTGATCCACCCCAATGCTTCACTCTGGGCATGCAACAGTCTGGGTGGTACGCTTCTTTGGGGCTTCTCCACACACTCCAAACTCTCCCGGATGTGGGAAAGACAGTAAAGGTGGACTCATCAGAGAACAATACATGTTTCACATTGTCCACAGCCCAAGATTTGCGCTGCTGGCACCATTGAAGCCGACGTTTGGCATTGGCACGAGTGACTAAAGGTTTGCCTATAGCAGCCCGGCCGTGTATATTGACCCTGTGGAGCTCCCGACGGACAGTTTTGGTGGAAACAGGAGAGTTGAGGTGCACATTTAATTCTGCAGTGAGTTGGGCAGCTGTGGTTTTATGTTTTTTGGATACAATCTGGGTTAGCACCCGGACATCCCTTTCAGAGAGCTTCCTCTTGCGTCCACAGTTACTCCTGTTGGATGTGGTTTGTCTTTCTTGGTGCTATGCTGACATTACCCTGGATACCGTGGCTTTTGATACATCACAAAGACTTGCTGTCTTGGTCACAGATGCGCCAGCAAGACATGCACCAACAATTTGTCCTCTTTTGAACTCTGATATGTCACCCATAATGTTGTGTGCATTGCAATATTTTGAGCAAAACTGCTATTACTCTGCTAATTGAACCTTCACACTCTGCTCTTACTGGTGCAATGTGCAATCAATGGCTGGTCAAATTTAGCCATGAAACCTCCAACACTAAATTGGCAGGTGTTTCATTTTCATTGTCCAACCCCTGTATGTTAATGTAAAAGGATTTCTGTCTCACTCAACCACAGCAGCTTGTGAAATGAAAGAGGTGGTTGGAATAAAGAGCAAAATGCTTCCCAGACTCACCACAGTCTGCGTGTTAAAGAAGCAGTTCTGAAGCGTCAAGTGAAACCACAAAAAAAGCAAATAGCAAAATGCACGATACAACCCAGCAATGGTTTGGTATAGAAAATACATGTCTGACTGCTGGATGAGAAGATTGAATACAGAGAGGATACAGAGGAATGTAGAGGAAACAAAAGAAAGGATGTATCATTATTTTCTCTAGCTGTGACCTGTCCTGTACAACCGTTTTCTACAGCACTGATTAAAGCTCCTCATCAACAGAGTTAAATGCAGTCCTCGATGATGCTCATTGATTAGTAGACATGAAACATCCTTCATTATTTAGATTTAGATTGTTATTATCTCTGCCAAGGAGGTTATGTTTTTCCTGTGTCTGTTGGTTTGTTTGTTTGTTTGCTCATTTGTCAGCAGCATTATGCAAAAAAGTATTGAACTGTTTTGCACCAAACTTTGAGGAGGCATGGGGCAGGGGCCAGGGAAGAACACACGAAATTTAGGTGCTGATTTGGTTAAAGGGGCGGATCCAGGAATTTTATTTTGTCACTTTCCTTAACGTTTCAATGTGAAATAATGTTTGAATCTTTATGTAAAATGACATCTATGAATTTGTACAATTTGGTGCAGATGAAGAAAATTCAGTTCTTATTAATAGTAACAGAGCATAAGCCACCAGCAGAATTAGGTATGCTTACATCAGTATTTAGTTCAACATGCAGCTAATGAAATAAATGAAATAACATAGGCAGCTAATAAAACCACACAGCTGTCATAAATAAGGATTAAAGGATTAACTAAAGTTATACTTGAGGACAAAAGACATTGCATTATTTGGCCTTAACGGAGGTATGTGCTCTACTGAGTGCTTTACTAGTTGTTATTATTATCATTATTATTATTATTATTATTATTATTATTATTATTATTATTATTATTATTATGTACGATTTATTATTTTAAGGGGCTTTGAGCTTAATTTTGTGGTTGTTTTGTGATCATACACTTACACATTTATGTCACAATAAACAGCGGTAGACTGCTGTGTCTCTCTCTGAGCAGCCTAGTCTATGTCCACTTCTATATGTCTATCCCTTCAATTGATTTCCTCTCACCTTACGCTCTCCCTGCTTCATTCATCCAACCCTTCTACCATACTTTCCCTCTATTTCTCACACTCTCTATATGTATATGTTTGTCTCACAGACTAAGAGAGATCCTGATGGTGGCCAGCTCCAACATTAAAACTCCCATGATGAGCGTTCCAGTACTGAACACCAAGAAGGCCTTGAAGAGGGCCAAGACGCTCCGTAAGAAACTCACCAGGGTGTGTCTGGCTGAGGTAAGGATAAACCCTGTGTTTTATATTGAATTTATCTTCTTACTTTTCATCTCCTGTCTCTCTTACCTTCCCTTGTCTACCATTTTCATTATTTGGTTGGTTTGGTGTATTTGGTTTTCTCATGTGTCTACTTGCCATTGTCCTTCCCCCTTTTAATATCATTTCCTCATTTCTGGCAATGTGTTGGAGATGTGCTGACCTGTGTGAATTCACCATAATTCTGTGTGTGTGTGTATATGTGTGTGTGTGTACGTGTGTGTGTGCGTATGTGTGTGCGTGTGGGTAGGTCCTGCAGAAAGTGGATGTGATAGAATCACTGAGGATTGAAAATCACCAAAAGCTGCGGACTTTCAAGGTCGCCTTCCACTTCCTGCCTCCTGACCGCTACTCTGATGATAAGCTACTGTCGCCCCAACAGATCCTCCACTACATGGAAACAAGGTGTGTGTGTGTGTGTGTGGGTGTATGTGTATGCGTGGGGGTGTGTGTGTGGGGGTGTGTGGGTGTGGGTGTGTGTCTGTGTGCGGGGATGGGTGTGGGGGTGGCTGGGTGGGTGTGTATAACCACATTTAGCCCCCCCTACCAAAATCCAGTAAGAAATAACTTGATATCAACCTCACATCTTCTCTACTTCACACCTCTGTCCTCCCAGGTTTTTCCGTCTCCTCCTGGAGGCTATCAAAAAGCGCAGCGCCAAGCTGGCCTCCATCGCCGTGGAGACGAGGAGGGCCACCCCTAGAGATAAAGACCTCGATGGCGATGGAACGGCTGACACAGCAGGGGTATGTTTTTAATTGGCTTGTCTTATAGGGTTGTCAAAAAAATCGCTACTCGGATACTAATCGATACTAAAAATTTGTATCGGATTAGATACTCATTTTCAACAGTATCAATACCAACCGTGCCGTCATCGCCTGCTCCAGTTGAAACACAACTTCATACAGCACCACAGCCCCTCCCCTCACTAGCAGCTGAACACATGAACGCTAGTTGACGTTCACAGAGCTGGCATCGCCAACATAAAACTAAATTAACATGGCAAGTGCTGCTGCTGAAGGACCTTCGCAACCTGTTTTAGTTGAAAATGAAAATTTATTCAATATTATTTTGCATTATTATTTTACCTGGCCAGCGGCGCACATTAACGTTAGCCATGTAGCCACATTAGACGTCTTCTAAGTTATGATTAAGCTAGCAGCTATGGCTAATGATTAAAACGACTAACGTTAATTTGGGAGCTAGACAGCAAACATTTTAAGTCCTGCCCATCTTTAATGTTAATAGACAGTGTTAATTTAACAGGATAACATAAATATTTGTGTCTAAAAAGTGTTATTTTTCTCTTAAAGTCCCAGATTGAGCTGAGAAAAGTTGACCAGCAACTAGACAGAAACAGCAGCAACCGACGCTACCAACTATATTTGATCAGAAACAAAAATGTGGTGCCAAGTCACCAGAAGCACAGAAAATAAACAGGGCTATAGCTGAATACATTTGCATGTCATATATATACACCTTACAGTAAGGTTACTGTTTTTTGTTTAGTTTTTTTTGCACTACCTCAGACAACCTAAAAGTAGTGTTGTCATTGATGTTATTGTTTGTATTGTTCTAATCTTTGTTTAAAAAAAAATATATGCATCTTAATTTCTTGTCATTTTTTCTCCCCGTGATATCGAAAATGGTATTGAGTGTTTTCCTGGGTATCAGTATCGAGTTTGAAATTCTTTGTCATCTTGATATTCATCAGTTAGATGACGGGGAAGGAGAAGAGGAGAGAGAGATTGTTGATGACCAGGGGAACGAAGGAGATGCAGACGCCTCAGACGCCAAGAGAAAAGGCAAACAGGAGGAGGAGGTATGAAGAGAGATAATTATAATAATATTAACTCTATTTGTATAGCACCTCTCATACAAAAAATATAGCACAAAGTGCTTTACAACAAAGAAGTTACATGCCCCAAGTGCAAAAACACATAAAATGAACATAAAAACATGTTAAAAGCATTGAACTAAAATGAAAAACATTGAAAACATGAATGTAAAATGAGATGAAATAATAAATAAAACAATAAATCATAAATAAGAAGACATTTCAAAGAAGTGCTAAGCATTGCATAAATGCTGAGCAAAGTGCAAAACATCAGAGCCAGTGAAAGACTAAAGTGAAGAAATAAGTTTTGAGCTTTCTTTTAAAAATACTTAGTGACCTGGCCTCTCTGATATCTATAGGTAGTGTGTTCCATAGTTTTGGGCCGTAACTAACAAAGGCTGCATCCTCAATTCTAAATTTTAAAATACTTGATATTGATTTATGTGGTCACATGTGATTAAAGCTAAATTCTAGTTCCTGGAACGAATCTCCTGAACTGTTAGTTAGTACATAGCTTTAGACTTGTCTGAACATTTCCATCTGAAGTGAATGCAAAGGCATTACAACTGACCAAAAATTAGATCTACAAATGCTTTTTTCTTTACCTTTTCTTTTCTTACCTTTTTCCTTTTTTCTCTATCTTTTCCTCTATAATTATTTTGCTACAATTAACAGCTGATCTAATTCCTGCACTCCATAATGTCATTTTGTCCAGAAATATTCACATTTGTGAACCTCTAACCATCAAATGTTTGGTATTTTTGCTTGAGAAATTACAATCAATTATTAAAGCAGTTGCCAATCCATTTTTACATTTGTCATTCTGAACACTGTTAAGTACCACTCTCATAAAAGGTTACATGCACTGCTTTGTTTGAATAAATAGATGTTATTAATTATTAAACTGTGGGCACAACAAATGTGATAGTTAATGCCCATCACCACTATAATAGAATTAATGCCCATCTTTGTTTTCCTCTGCAGGTGGACTATGAGAGTGAAGAGGGGGATAGAGGTGATGACGGCGATGATAAAGAAGATCAGGGGGAGGAAGAGGAGGAGAAGAATGAGGAGCAGAACACTCAGGAAGAGTCCCTGCCAGAGTCTGCAGGAGTGAGACCGGAGGGGAAGAAGAAACGAGCAAAGAGAAGGGAAGGAGAAGCGACCTTGAGTCAGATGAGAGTCAACTCTGTTCTAGAGTCCAACCCGGCGATAGAGAAATACTGCTACGATCATCAGCATGAACTCTGGTGTGAGGTGAGTTCATGCGTGTTACAAATTTTACTTTCCATGATTTTATGGAATGGATGTCCTGTAATCATGCCCTTTTAACATACCTATAGCCTGCATGTGAGGTGTTGAGGTAACATTGGTAAATTGTAGCATCTCCTGATAGTCTGCGTGTTAGACATTTTACATCTGTAAATTGTAGCTGCAGAAAATAACTTACGTCACTCAACCCACAACCAAATGTACGTGTATATCTGAGCACATGCTAAACAACAACCAGCTAATAGCAGAAAGTGGTAAACTTCACAGATACTTTAAGTGTTACAATTGTTTATAAATGTTTCATCGAAAAACTGAAATTTTTGCTTTAATTCTAATTATAACCACATTTCCTTATCTCTTCTTATTCTGTGCAGTTTTAGCCACATGTCCTCTTTCCCTCCCCCTGTAGTGTTCCCTCAAACCTTCAGTATACCTACTTTGCTGAAGCTTTTCCAAAAGCCGTCTCTTTCCTCCTCCTGCTCTTCTATTGGACGTCCTGATTTGAGCAAAAAGTTTGAAATGAGGTGCATGCGGTTCTCAGCTCTACAATGAAATAAGGTTTTAGCCATTTGAAATAGTAAAATATTTTCGGTTCATTGTGAAACTGTGGCGGGACTAATTAGACTGTGGCAGAGGACGTCTGTAGAGTCGGCATTCCTTCAGTGTGGCCCAGGACGCATTTGCGATCACACTGCTAAAAGAATGTGGCCACATGTGGCCCAGAGCATCTCAAGCTGCATTTTGACCAAGAAGCTTTTCTTTTTTCTTTGAGGACATAACATGAACCAAAATACAGGACAAATTGTGTCCCGTATACATTCAATAGAGGACACAGCTTTTTATTTTCAAATACGGGATGATCCCGTATTATATGTGATGGGTGGCAACTCTGGCCACTCTGGTTGTTGTGGTCCTTTATTTAATTGAAGTCCTGTTTCAGTTTTTTTACCTTCTCCCGGACCTGTTTCGCGGTGTGGAAAAAGCACTCTGTGCTCGCTCACTGCAGACTTTTAAACTTTGCGGGTGAAATAAAATACAGTGAGGACTCGACCAGTCAGAAATGTTCAGCACTGCAGACCACACCCCCCAAAGTTCCTGAACCTTTGGAATGTACTACCCCCTAACCAGGTACCTTTTTGGGGGGTGATCAATTACCCCAGAACTAAATTTAGTCACTGGTTCCTGTGGTGGAAACGCGCATAGTTCCTCAAAAGGTTCCTGGTTCCTGGAGAAAGTTCCTGCAGTGGAAACGTGGCTTCAGAATGTGGTCTGAGTGATCGGATCTCAAATGCGTCCTGGGTGCGTTCACACATAAACCGACCACTGCTGATCACTTGTGATCGGATCAACCAAGACAGATGTTAAATCCAGATCTGAACAGGGCCTGTAGGTGAGCTGAAAGGGACAGTTGAATGCTAGCGATCCAAAACAAGGGGTTTAGTTATTTACAAGTTATTTCTGCTGCTCTGCAAATCAGCATGGTCAACAGACTTCAATACTGGTTCATTAACACTAGAACCGCCAAGACAGTCAGGTCTCTCACTTCATGACTTTTCCTAAATATATGTTTTTGATGTTTTCTTAAGCCTAGAAGGTATTAAGATAAAAAACAAAAGATTTCTGAGCATTTATTCCTCAGACCGCCAGCTGTGGCCATAGGAATTATTACAATTTCACAGTTTTCGTGCGTCTATTTTTTTTCACTTATTGTTTTCATTTAACATTAGGCCTACATTTTTATATGCGGATCTGGAAAGAGAGTAAGAGTCACTTTCTCAGGACCTTAGCGAGGGGGAAGCTGATGGTTTAGTGATGAGAAAAGTGCTGTTGGCTGGCACGTCTGTCAGCATGTCCACTCATGACGCAGCCACTTCGCAAACTTTATTTTGCGAGTACAAACTAGACCTTGATTTTATAGTCAGCCTATAGGCTCTAAACAGTAAGCATCTAAAATCACCCTCATTTATAATGAATAAAGAATTATAATACAGCCTAATAAATCCTAACTGTGCCGCCGCCGGCTGTCCAGTCCAGTACACACCGGTCTCTGTGAGAGCTTGTAGGCAAGGTCAGATCCAGGTGGAACTATTGTAAAAAAAAAAACCCCAAAAAAAACAAAAAAAAACAACCTGGCTGTTGATAATAAACAATAATGAAAAATAACAATCCAATAAACCTCAGAGCGAACAGCGACAGCGGTTCTTGACATGAGAGCACACACACCGTCTCCAGATGCAGGTGTGTGCCATAGGTGCGTCACGCGGTGCTGCGCGATCACTGTTAGTCAATCATTCTCTAACGTAATCTACCCCACCCTCACCCCCTGACCCCCGACCCCCAACACAACATTACATGAAGAGGAGGTACTAACACTTTTCACTCACTTTTTTCCACTTCAAGAGCTGCTTGTAAACCTAAACAATGTAAATACACGTGACGGTCTGGGAGACTGTTGTGGCGGCTTTAGGGGCGCTAGAATGCTGGCGGTCCTAGTGTTAAAGCAATTGAACAAACTCATGTCAGACATCATACAGGATATTAATGCAGCCAGTCAAAATTGAAAACCCCCAGAAGCCATGGTAAAAAAAATATTGATTGCATAATACACAGTTTGCTTCAACATAGGCAGATGATCAATGATAGATAATTTCATGAGTTTATTGTTGACATTTCTTTTTAAAATAAGTCGACCTCAATTTAATTACCCCATTCATTCAGTCATTCCTTCATGCACCTCTTGGTTCCTTGTTTATAGGTTTATCTTGTGTTACCGGTCAGCAAGGTGCACTTTGACCTGACCTCAGTACTGTCAACACTGGCCCAGAACGCCGTCATCATGGAAACCAAAGGCCTGACTCGCTGCCTGCTGAGTGAAACTACAAAAAAGACTGGAGAAAAAGAGACGGTCCTCAACACAGAGGGCATCAACATGCACGAATTGTTCAAGTACAGTGATGTACGTAGACAGTTACTAAGACTTAAGGGCATTTTTTTTTTTTTTTTAAGAAATTCACCACCAAATTCCGTTTTGACTGTTTAGGTTTTTTATGTCAGGTATCTGACTTAGATTTGTGGTCATGATCTGACTCATGCTAATCTTTGGGGTGGGTTCAAGTGTTGCAAAACAGATATTACTGTGAATTTAGATTTAAATACTGAAAAAATGCATTTACTTCATAATCAAGGCGTTAATTGCCCTAGTAAGTTTATGCATGTTATGAGATTGTTTATTTTGATCATTGTTTGGTGATAATCCCAACATTGAGACTGTGTGTTTTCTCTAGATCTTAGACATAAACAGGCTGTACTCCAATGAGGTCCATGCCATGGCTAACACCTATGGGATTGAAGTGGCTCTGAAGGTCATAGAGAAGGAGATCAAAGATGTCTTTGCTGTCTATGGTACATACATACACGCACACACGTAATTAATAAACAGACAACAGGGCTTTCTGAACCACTTACATTTGGTCTCTATCTGTATTCCTCTTTCTCCAGGTATCGAGGTTGACCCCAGACATCTGTCTCTTGTAGCAGACTACATGTGTTTTGAAGGTGTATATAAGCCCTTAAACCGACATGCCATCAGGTCCAACTCCTCCCCGCTGCAGCAGATGACCTTCGAGACCAGTTACAAATTCCTCAAACAGGCAACCATGCTGGGTGAGAAAAGGGTGACAATAATAATTCAAAAATAATGATATATAATTTGATTTCGTAGTTCTTGCGTAGTGCCATGACTGTGGGTGAGAGGAAACCTCTGACACTACTCAGCAGATGGGAAATTGCACTGTTTGGAGAGGGTAGTTAATGGTTAAAGCTTTGAGAGTATCAAGTTTTCTAGTCAGATACCAGTGCATCAGTGGGGTTTTTTATTGAGTTTCATGATTAATTCATGCTAAACAGGACAACATTAAACCTGACTATAGATAAATCCTCATTTGGAAATGTCGCCCTTCTCACATGTTCTGCTGTTATTCCACTCAGGCTGCTTTGGGAATGATTTCCTTTAACTAAAACTTGACGCTTCTTGGATGATTACACTGTATTCAAGTCTTGGGTACCCTCTGGGGTTTGTTTGCAAAGGCTATGATTGTGATTTTAATCTGTGCAATGTATTCGACACAGGTCAAATTCCTGCAGTGAAAAGTCATTATTCAGGACAATAGTTAATACACTTGATGACAGTGCTTCAGGGAGTTTGGAGCATGAATGGATTTATGTCACAAGTCCTCGTCTATAACCCTAGAGCCACTGCTGCCCTATGTGTCTTTGTTCACGGCTGTTTTTCTTCCTTTTTTAGGGTCACACGATCAGCTGGTGTCACCCTCAGCCTGCCTGGTGGTGGGGAAAGTTGTCAAAGGTGGAACAGGGCTGTTTGAACTCAAACAACCTCTACAGTAGGAAAGGAGAAACCACACATGACCTGATTTGATTAACGTTTGAGGGGAGTGTTTTTCAGATGTGTTGCCTCCCACTTAAAACTTCTGACAAATAAATAAATAAATTTTTGTATTTCAGTTCCTAGTAAATGTGGACAGTCTTCTCATCAGATTCCCATCAAATGTTACCCATCCATGGCTAGACTTATGTTTGTTTTTTGTTTGTTTTTTTGAGATGAATGAAATCACTGAGCACTGTATCATACTGTAAAAGGAAGCATTGCAGGAGTTTACAGCACCAAAGTCAACACAGTATACACACAATGGTGTAATTTCTAGAAGTATAAAAGCTAGTGGACGGACAATTTAAAAGTTGTTATTTTTGTCTTTGTATTTAATAATAAATTTTTAAGATATCTATAAAATTGTATCTTAATTTCCCCCTCCCTCAGTGTCATTAGACGTGTTTGGTTCATATCGGGGTGATGGGGGGGTCTTATGACGATTGAGCGGAAATGATGGTGAGGGAGCTGGCTGCTGATTGGCTGGTCATCTGCAGTAAGGATGGGAAAAAAGAAGCTGTGGGGATGAATAGTTGCCGAGTAGCTCATCGTTTATTCTGTCTTGAGGCCCCGCAATGGCGCAGCGGTCGTATCCACTGAAGGGTAAGTAAATAAGTTCGTAAATGATGATGCAGAAGTGGGAGTTTAAAGAATAGAATTGAGTGCAAACAGTGTTAACGGGCTAACGGTTGTGGTTAACGGCTTATCGTTAGGTCCGCTAAAGCAGATAATCAGCTAACGGTAACCCTCCGTGCCAGTATGTTAAATGGTACGAAGAAGTAACGGTTTTACATAGGTGAGCTGCGTTTTTATATTTCATTGTCGGGTCTGCGAAGTCACCGGACGTCGTTTTCTCTGATTTGGAACGGTTTGGTTCGGCAACGTTATTTGAGTTGACAGTCTACTCCCGGTTGCGTGACTTTCTTTTATATCCATAGGCCATGTTATTAAGAAAACTGTTTAAGTGACCCTGTGCTAATCAACCAAAGTGGAAACATGGCAGAAAATCATACATTATTAACCAGTAACAATGTCTTGCATCAAGCAGCTGCCAAGCAGCATTTTACCGAAAATGCGCATTATGAGTGAATATCCTAAAATGCTTCGTCTGCACCTCACCGCTGTGCGGGTCAGTAGCGAAGGGTATGCAGGCATTTATTTGTCGACAAGACTTTAGCTCAGGGTTGTTTTAATGGACCACTTCGGTCCCAAAACTACCAAAAATATTGATTAGCAGCTGTTATGTTCTAACAGCCATGAATAAAGAATTATAAAATTTGGATGAGTAGTTCCTGTGAGACTACAATAACGTTAGTGAAAGCTAATTTATCAACCTACAGGCAATAGTGAAAGTAATCTAACAACATCTACTCCAAGTAGGTTACTGTATGTACCGAGTATTTTAATGTAATGCTACTTCTAGTCCAGTATATTTTAGAGGGAGTTATTCGACAGACGTATATTTTGGATACAGCAGGGTCTTCTAATTTAAGTTTTAAATTGTCGAGAAAGGGTTGTGTCCATGTGGGCCATGTTATTACACACTTTAGCGAGTGATGTGGAAGCTATTAAAATATATTAAGAAAGTGAAAGTTAATTTGTTATTACACTGTATTCATTAGTATACTGTACAACGTAGTAAAGGGGTGTATTAGAAACACCTCAATATAATGCAGTCCAGGATACGCCATCACTATGACCTCAGTGCTAAAACATATTTAAAGCCTCCATGACATTGTCAAAAAAACCCTGAACATACATGGCATCATAAAAGAACATGGTATGGCAGAAGGTTGTGTTAGATTCCATTAAACTGTACATGTGTACCTAATTAAGTTGCCACTTAGTGTAAAAAGAAGTTACAATTAGCACCACTTCAACCAGGCACAACATTAAGTGGCTGCATGCATGACATCAATAATAAATTGAGTAATATAACAATATTAAAACACCCTGAAAGGAGCCTTTCTGCATAATGAGTAAAACTTTAAGTACATTTTGCTTTTTTAATACATGTTTGCTTTTACATAAATACAATTATGATTTGTAATACAGTAATTTTACATTGTGGGTATTGCAACATTTATTTAAGTAACCCATTAGAATACACTTTTTACTTTTGCCCATGTGTCTTAATCTTTATGGTGATATGCAGGCATTAGCTGTAATGCAGCCATGTTCCTATGACAATACAGTAATTTACTGTACAGTACATTCCCCAATAGCAATAGTTTATATGTTCCAACATTAGAAATTGCACTGCTGCAACATAACAGATATTACCTGTCATTGAGCTTTATGGTATCTCAAAACTAGAACAGCAGTTATTCATAGTCACTGTTCACTAGTGGGGCTAATGATTAGCTGACATCTAGTGAAATGTAACTGACTGTCTCTGTGTCCAGGGCAAGACCCCTGAGAGCCACAGGGCTTCAGGCTTCAGCAGAGACACCAGAAGAGTTCCCAGAGTCCAGTGCGAATGAGAACAACATGAGGCTTCCTTTTCGCTGGGCAGCACACAGGTGGCATTCACTCAACACAACACAAAGACTTCTGCTGTTCTCTGTGAACCACAGTGTTTCAATACACATAGTTAACTCGCTCTCCAGTGTCCTTAAGGTCTTAAAGGAGAACAACAGTGTCATTTACTGTAAAACTTACGTCTAGTTTGTTTTTAGTGCAAGTGCCTTTCAGTTCTTCTTTTAAAGATATTTTAATATTTAAATAACTTGAAGTGAATACAGATGTTACAAATCTACAGTACAAACACTGATGTAACAGTAAGTCTCTTATAGAATATTTACTAGCAAAAGCTTCCTGTAGGCAGCAGAAATATAAGATTGTCTTTTGGACCACATTCATCTAAGAACTCAGCCTTCATTTCAAGTTTAGTGACTGTAGCTTGCACATTTGTGAAAACCACACAAACATTCAAAAATATAAACACCTGCCTCTGTGGTTGTTCTCGCTACATTAGGTGTTTCCAAGACCACATTGTACTCGATCACACACACACACACAAACACAGACGACACACAAGCTCACAAGGTGAAAACAATACTAGCCAGGCTGTCGCAGCTGGTAAAGAAGAAGGAGAAAATATGGATGCATTGTCATGTGATGCATTATGTTACTCTGGGAAACCTGTTTGCCACAGGAGAATCAATTACAGTTAACGGCTAACGGCTGATTCTGAAAGGGGTGGTGACTGTGCCTACAGACCAACAGAAAGAAGAACTGATTTAGTGTATTATCCACTTCATTTCCTCCTATTTCAACATTCTAAATTGTTGTATGTTCTTCTTTTATGTATGTTTTATTCATAAGTTAAGGAAGGGTGTCAACTAAGGTTTTGTCAAAGGTTACTTTGAACCACTCATTATAAGTTAAGTTTAAGGAATGTGCATTAGGGGGTAAACCTGCTTACCCATCGGTTTTTATATCGTCTCCTACGATATAAGAGACTCAGGATGTGTGGGTTTTTTCTGGCCTAAAAGCTCAAAAGGCCAGAGACCAGAGGTCGTCGACCAGATATGGTCGACCATTTGGGTGAAGGCTCCTTCTATTAAAAGAAGGGCACATCCCAAAGGTGGGATGAGACAGATAGATAGAGGGGTTTGTGAGACGGTAGAAGAGAGATATCACATTGGCAGAGATGCTCCAGGATTCGGCATTTTTTGGCACTGTTTCTTTCTTGTAAATAAACTTCTTTTTGATTGCAAGTAAAGACGTGTCAGCGGTGATCACTTCTTCACATCAGCACCTCAAGATACCACACTGACAAAAGCTAAAGCTTTCAATTGAGTTAGCGTCAAAACTGTAAGTCATTATGTTTCTGGTTGTCCATCCACTTGTCCGCCTGTCCCATTGTCATGAATGCGATATCTCAGGAACACCTTGAGGGAATTTCTTTGATTTTGGTATAACTGTTCACTTGGATTCAAGGATGAACTGACTCAAATTTGGCGGTCAAAGGTCAAGGCTACTGTGACCTATGGCCATAACTCAAGAATTCATACACTAATAATGACAAAATACACTTTATACCTTTTAAGAATTTCCTTCACAGTCTTCACTACATATTGTACATGAGCCTGGACAGACATGGATGTAAACTGCAACTTGTCTGGTTAGTGGAGGCATACATGAATCTCATCATAAATCCACTGTAGATATCATTGTAAATGCAAGAAATTTAAGTGTGAATCCCTATAAATACAACCTAATAACATGTAGTAGTAATAATAATAATAATGATAACAATAATTACAATTGTAATAAATATTATGAGATGTTGTTCAACAAAGTAATCTAGGTACAAATTTTTTCTCTGCTCTCTTGTTGATTTATCAATAATTCTTCCCTGAATTAAAAATCTACTATAATCAAAATGCTTCACATCAATTTCTTAACCACTTCCCCTTCTTTTGAGTGCAGTGTACTCTTAACCCACTAAATATGCCTTTCCTGTTGGGCCTCAATTCTCAAGTTTGAAGGTAGAATAAATGTTGTTAGGAAAGAGAACTGCAGGTGAGTAAATGATGTGTATGTAAATGTCCAAAAGTTGCCCCCCATCCACCGGCCATAGTATATCAAGATTAAGAGCTATGTTTAATGACATCTGCTAACAGATGACAGGAATGTTGTGGAGTGAGCATAGTGCTGTGTGTTCTTGATAGCTTTACTCACCGCTCTATTTTCCCAACCACATATAAATTTTACTTTCATCCAGAAACAACACGTTTTCTGTTGGAATGAATAAAGCTGAGCAGCTTGAAGGGGTCAGCTGTAGAACCACGTCTCAAGTTGGAAATGACAAACGATTTAACCAGAATACTATGCAAATTAAATAACAGTTATATGTAAGTCACATTCAGTGACAGCCAGAACTTGGTTTGCCTGTTAATCCTGAGCTCTAGTTTTTCAGGGTCAGGGTCTGCATGTGTAGAGTATCTTTTTTAATGACTCATTGCTCTATATCGAGAGAAAATTGCCATTAACTAGACTTGTGTACAATAGTTTTACAACAGCCATTCATAGCATGGCAACAGTTTCTATTCCCTCCATTATACTGACCTGACTGGTCACGTTAAACAGCCTCATTCAGTTGTGTTTTCAGTGAGAAAACACTGTACAGACTGTTTGGCTGAACATACTAAATGTAGACTTGTTATATCCTGTATGAATGCTGCAACATGTTCAGCATGCCAGTGCACTACTGACACATGCATACTTTTCTTTCCTTGTCACCCCACTTTAACCTGTGAAAGTAAAATTAGTATGACTCATTTTTTCATTCTTTGTTTTATCACTGTATTTTCTGTATATTCACTGTATTATACTTTTGTGCATTCAGAACAAACAGAACCTATTGTAGGTATTAAAATGTGGGGAACTGAAGAAACACACACACTTTATCACCCTACAAATGATTTAATGTTGTAATGTGTGTCTGTGATGGTCTTGATTTAGTTCAGACTGTGACTTTTTCAGTATCAAGGAGTAGCTTAATAAAGACTCATAAACTAGTCAATATTGACACAAAAATGAAATCCCCTCAGCACTAAACAGAACAGGCTTGTGTTGAGAGATATTTCTTGACAAGAGTAAGTTCAGGTAATGTGTTCAGATGCTATTTCCGCTGACCCTTAATGACTACTTGCAGTTATTTCCTTTATTGTTATTTCCTGTTCACAACATACCCAAGATTGGCTCAGTAAAAACTGTCTTGTGTCTCTAACCTGCTGGAAAACAAAAAACCTCTTCCATATAACTTTAAAACAAAAAGGATGGCATTTCCCTGCAGAATCCAGTGTTATTTAATTTTGCTCAAAGTGTAAGCCAACTCTTCATAAGTCACTGTCTCCAGCATTTGCAAAAATATCGCCATATCTGAAAGTTTCCACAACTGTGTTTGTAAATTTCATGCTCTGCTGCATTAACCTTTAACATGGCTAAAACCTGAAGCTGCAAGCAGTAAGCATTTAACTGCTGATATTACTTAACCCATCCTCTGTATGTACAGGATGCACTGTATTACATGTCATGCTCTTAATTCAACTTGATATGGCACACAGTGCTGCTCAACCCCATATACTGCAGTTAGCCTGGTAGATTGGTAGATAAAAGCCGGCAGTTGGCTAGAAACAGTATGATTAAAGTGTCATTACCTATAAAGAGATGTTATCGCTTTGAAAGTCGGCATCTCTGCACCCACTGTGGTTTGTGTGTGTCATTGGTGGGTAACCATGCAGCTTGCAAAACAATGCTCTCTGCTATCCAAAAGGTTCTCACACATCAGTGAAATATTTTTTAAACATTTACTTCATAAAAAAAATTCTCATTCAACACAGTTCCAATCATTTGATTTGTTGTGTTTGGACAGCTTTTTGTTTATTTCTTAATTTGAGCTTGACATCAAACTGTGATAACCAGTAGCATTACAATAGACGGGCTTTACATGTGGCTTTGTGTATCCTGCCTGTAACTTGCAAAACTGTCACAGTACTTTTGATTTATATAATGAAACTTTTCACAGACATTCTCACTCTGATAGTACAGTCTGCCATCTGTTCTGTTAATATCAGCCAGGTAGGGCTGGGCGGTATGTTGACTTTTTGACAGTGGTTCAACTATTTGGAGATGGTCCAGATTTAAAATATTTTTATTGTTATTTTCATTATCAGTGGTTGGCCTATTTCTCTCCGGGTACTCTGGCTTCCTCCCACAGTCCAAAAAACATGCACAAAACATGGCAATTGGTGACTCTAAAGTGCCCATTGGTGTGAATGTGTGCGCAAGTGGTTGTTTGTCTGTATATGTCCGCCCTCTGATGGTATAGATAATGGATAGATGGATGAATGGATGATTGGCCTTTTTTATTTAACATAGGCTGTATATTTTATATAATTTTTCATTTGCATGATTTCAAACAGGGAATTAAACCCTGTCTTTGCATTTTATTTTTACCATGTTCTGTTTTAATAAAAGTGATTGTGATCTCCCGTGTTGCTTTACCTACAACTGAACACTTGGCCCTCTTTGTAGAAGGTACCAAGATACAGTATATATTGTGTACTGCCATTCAGCCTAAAAATACCGAGATATGATTTTTGGTCCATATCGCCCAGCCCTAATGATGATTTCTTCATCATTGTCTCCTATTTGTTTTTTGTAGGTGTTATTTAATCACAATGGTTCATACTATTTGTGTGTGTGTGTGTGTGTGTGTGTGTCTGTCTCCAGGCGTGTGTTTGTAGTGGTTGCAGTTTTAGGTTTGCTGGTTTTGGTGATGGTCTCCCTACCACTGATCGAAACAGGGACAAACAAACCTCTGCACTGGCACGTCAACCCTGCACATAAAAAGGTGAGAGTCAGGTAGAGCTTTTACATTTACTGTAAATTTATTACCAGTATTAAGAGGTGAAAGTTGAGTTGACAGGGTGGTAAGGAATATCTATAATGGAATAAAACCATGATTTGTACCCTGATGTTTCAATACAATAGAGAAAAATGGAAACAGAATTCAGAGTGGAGCTGGAGAAACCAAAGGTCCTGAGTCACTGTCACAAAAACTGTATGATCTCCAGTTCTTTTGAATATTTTCATAAATGCCTTTAATCAAACACCCTTAAAGGACCAGTGTGTAGGATATAGTGGCATCCTGCAGATATGGAATGATTGGTGGTTATTTGGGTGTGGTTGAGTTTAGCAGAACACTAACAACTATGTGACATGTGCAATAAGGTGTAACAGAGGGACTGAAGTGAACAGTATCTATAATAATAGCAATTCTGCTCATGACAGGCCTCCAAGCTTTAATGATTCCATAACATTAAATTATAGTTGCCATGTAATATTTGACCTTGTTCCTCTGACACGCTTGTCTGAATTTAATAGCCTCTATGGAGCCTCCCCTGACGTCTTCTTTAGAACCACGATAGGGTTTGGTGTGAAATATTTTGACAATTGTTGAATGGATTTTCATGACATTTGGTAGAGAATTTCATGTTCCCCTCAGGATGAATTCTATTCTATTAACTTTGGTTACCCCTTCACCTGCAAAACTTATTCCCATCAGCCTCAGCTGTACTTCGTGTTAAGGGCTAATTAGTGAATGTTGGAATGCTAACATTCCAAACTACGATGTGAACAGAGTAAACATTATACCATGTACCTAAACATCAGCATGGTCAGCTTGTCATTGTGAGCATGTTAGCATGCTGACATTAACCTGTACTTCAAAGCATCAGTATGCCTATGTAGAGTTTCACAGAGCAGCTAGCATGATTTTTTTTTTTTTTTTAAATCTTTGTCTGAAATAGGTTAGTATATAACCAGCAACTAAACAAACATGCATCAGGGGCAAAATGCCATGCTAACATTAGTTAGGGCTAAAGGAGAGTTTATCTTGTATCTCAACAGATATATAAAAATTTTAACAGTAACCAAAAAGAACATAACTTAGTTTGAAAAACACTTAGATATATATTTTTTTTTCAGCTTGACTTTAAACATATCAAACAGGATATTCGCATGTTCTTACAACTGTGATGAAATTGTTAATGTCTCAGTTTCAAGTTTCTGGTGCACTTAATAGCTACAGATGGTTGCACAGTCACACAGTGGGCTATAAGCACATATTTTCAAGATATAAATGATTGATCTGAGAAGACAAATTAAATGATTTGAACTTATGAGTTACAATTTAGCATTTAAGAAGAGGTGAATTATCCCCTTATTCCTGAGAATGAATGATTATTTGCCAACAACTGTTGCTTTTTAGGTACTTAAGTTTGCTTATTCTTATGTCTGTTTTCGTTAAGATATAAACAACTGATCCATTTAAGAAGTTACTTAGTCAAATAGGGAAACATTTTTTTGTTAATTGGTAATGAATCTCGGGCAACATAAAGATACTTTTCAAAGAATGTTCAACATTTTGTCTTCATGTTTTGTCTGTTTTGCTTGCAGCTGGTGCATGAGCATGTGCTCAGAGTTCTGGATGGGCAGTGTCATCGCGGCAGCACTAGGCAGAGCTTATTAGCTCGACTCCCTGCTTCCGGTTACGCGGCCAGGCCCTTCTTGTGGAAGGATGTTCCACTTCCTGATGACCTTTTCCTGCGTCCACCTCCATTTGGCTTCAGAGGGCTTCGGGGCAAAGTGGAGGACCTGCTAAAGCTGGTGAGTACAACTTCTTTCTCTTTCATTCTATTTCTTCTGTCTAGTCAAGTTAGTATTTGACAATTGTATACAGCTTAACCGTATTTATTTAATGGCACGTTGTATGTTCCTGAACATGTAACAAATGGAAATGGTAAAACACACCAAAAGCTTAGTGTGTCATATGAAGAGTCTAACCTTGATTGGAAGCTGTCTCTGCAAATATAATACCTGCAGATATAGCACAGTGGTACATGACAACAGTTGGGTACAACTATGGAAAAAAAAAAAACCTTGACACCTGATTAACATGATTACCATAAATGTAGTTTGATTAGTAATAATGAATTTGTAATATCTTCCTCAGAATGACAATGTAAGATATTTGACATCAATAATGATAATGTTATTGATAAAGCAAGATCCAGTTCCACTAGTACAAACTACTAGTCCATAGTACAAACATTATTAATTTAGCTTGACTGGATTCACATTACAGATAAATTTCATGTATGATTCAGAACAAAAATTAATAATATTTCCTATTCCATTCTAACTAACAGGGCACAATTTACTTTTGCCATTAACCCACAGACTGGCTAATGTTGACCTCAAATTTTAGATATTTTCAATTTAATTTTAGTCATATTTCAATTAAAGATACCTTCAATTTCTTACAGCTAAAGATAGTGGAATAATATTTTTGATATATTTATGTTTAGTTGTTAATACACTCACCAAGCACTTTATTATGAACACTATACGAGTACTAGGCCAAAACAACCTCAGTTCTTCATGTCATGGATTTCACAAGATGTTGGAGCTCTGTGAGATCTTGCTCCATGTTGACATGGTAACATCACATCATTTCTGCAGATTTGTCAGCTGCACATTCGTACTGCCAATCTCCTAATATATCACATTCTTAAGGTGTTTTGTTTAATTCAGATCTGGTGACTGGGGAGGCAGCTGAAGTTTACTGAACTCATTGTCATGTTCATGAAACCAGTTTGAGATGACCACAAATGTTTGGGCACTGACAGACTGAGAAAATTGTGGAGCATTTAACTGTACTTGAAATTCGCAGAGGGTAGTTCAGGGTAACTTCGTTTAGGTATCTGAAAGGTGTATTTAAATAAAATTCATGCTTAATGTCTACATTGTGCAGCCCACTAAAAGATCATAAATGTACAATGAGTTTCCTTCGGTTCCTTTCAGTGCAGCACTTTTTGGGACATATATCTTAATGATTCTTGTCTGTGGATTTTCTTGAAAAGCTGCCAGACTCTGATTTCAAACCACAGCTGGAAAAGACATCAGATAAATGTCAGCGCTGTCTGGTCATGGGAAATGGAGGAATTCTCAGAGGCCTGGAGCTTGGCCCGCTGATAGACCGTTTTGACACCATTATCAGGTTAGAAGCACAAATGCATGATACAACTCTGTTAATTCAGTTTACACATAATGGTTTTTGTTGTATGTTGTCATGATGATGAACAAGGATCAGTGGACTGTAGATACTGGAACATGTAAACTAAAACCACTCGACTAAGAAATGCATGCACTTAATCATCATCATCACTGGCACTTACCACTGTGTAGCATCAATAAATTATTATTATTACATTACAAACTAGTCAGTCAATTACTTTATGTGTCCCTCCTTCAGATTAAACAGTGGTCCTCTGGGAGAGTTCAGTGTTGACGTTGGAAATCGAACCAGCATCAGGATGAGTTACCCAGAAGGCACGCCCCTCCACTGGGTCGACACAGACCCACACACTCTGTTTGTTGCTGTGGTGTATAAAAGTGTAGACATCAGCTGGACGTCTGCTATGATCAACAAGCTCACTGTGGTGAGTAGTGGTGGTGGTGTGTGCCTGTTTTGAAATGATTTGCTGTGTCATGTTGTCTTATATTATCAAATAGTAGGTATCCAATTATGATGCAGTTTATTTAAACATGAGTTCTGAATAACAGCAATACTACACTCGTTGAGCAACTTGTCGAGAAATGTCAGCTGATTTTGAGCTTCAGAAACCCACCGTAAATTGGCTGGACCCTTGCGTGAAGTGAGAATTAGCAGCTGTTTTACTACAAGTTTGTTGCATTAAAAAAGTAAAGGAAAAAAAACTTACATCAATGTCAATGAAAAGATGGAGAAATAATCCAGGTAAAATAGCAATAGTTGGGTGAACTTTCAGTTTTTCTCTTACATTATCAGCAGAAAAGAGTCAATATATATCTCCAAGAGGCAAAACAATTAAAATAATCTGTAAATGTGAATTAAAATTATTTTATCGGTGTCGTTATATAATGTTGTTCAAGATCATGTTCAAGATGATGTTCAAGAATATAAATTTAAACTCTGATCTGGGTTTGGAATAATATGAAAAATGATAAAACACACAGAACTGAGAGAAATTATTGAATGCACTTATAGGTTAACTGGAAAGCAAATATTCAAAATGTAAAAAAATGAGCAAAACAAGAAAAAAAATCATCTTTAAATCATAAATATAGCTAAAGTTTTAAACTGTTTATAAGAATAATACACATAATCAGGTGTTGCCAAAAATGAACTGGCATATGGACATATTTTAAGTAACATTTGAAGCAAAACTGCAAGAGGATGTGGTAAACCACCCTTTACCAACAATTTCTCCTTCGCTTGGTTTATGCAGATGTAACGCTCTGGATGATCATGTCATATTACTCCTTCTCTGAATGAGTCTTTGTAATCAAATTTGTAGTCACAACTCTTTCATGTTGACCTGTTCATCATTTAATTCTGATACAAATTATCCAACGTAGTCTTTGTCAGATCCTAGCTATGACACATCTGTGCTTTGTGTTGCAGCCTCTGTGGGACAAGCTCTTCTTCTGGCAGAAGGTTCCACATCAAATTCCTCTTGAGCCCCAGAGGTTCAGACTTCTGAATCCACATGTCATTAAAGAGACTGCATTAGACCTGCTGAAATACCCTCCACCCAGACCACGCATCTTGGGCTGGGACAAGGTAACACACATTTCCCAAACCAGCAATTAAGTCTGTCTGTCTCTCTGTCTGTCTGCTGACCTGTCTGTCTGTCTCAAATGACAAATATTAAGCAACCACTAAATGAAGCGATTCATAATATTTTTACCCGGGTCATCTTGTCTTATATTATTTATCAACTGATTACTGATTGCTTTGGTTTGCTTTCTCAAATCACGAGGCAGACAAACAGTTATACACTGACTTATGTGTTTGTCATGGCCAAATGAAAGAAACCATATTTGGTATGAAAACAAAATAAATTGTATTAAATATTAACTGTATCACATACATTATATTCTTATCTAATGAGGCACTCTACAATTCTTCTCCCTTTACATGAAGAAGACATGTCATAGGGATGATTATCTGGGCCACATCCATCTCTTTTTACAGGGCTGTTCTGACAATGTGAAAAAGTTTGTGTGTGGTTGCCACAAAGACATCATGAAATCATCTTTGGCTGTTTTTTAAGCGGTACCAAAACAAACTGTTGACAGTTTCAAGTGTAGTGTGTGTCAGTATCATATGTACTGTAGCTGTGCCCGCAGGAGAGGCACCCACCATGATTTTCTGTTACCATTTCTAGTCGCTATTGTAATTATACTGTCATCAGTAACGGCCCCCTCCCTACTTCATGGTATCTGTATTCATATTGAAGATTTAAAGGCAAAGTTCTGGGGAACTGTTTGTGGACGAGAATAATAACATTGCAATCATTTGTGTGTCTCTAATACAGGATATTTGTCTCTTAGGGTTTAGTGTATACCATGTTCACTGAGAATGACTTATGCGTATTTTTACCAAGCAACCACATATTTATAGACTGTGCTCAGGACATTAGTTGTATTACCTTTTTCAAAATTTTACCAGCTTTTCTTTATGATCTAAACTGATAGAAAAAGAGCTAAAATTAGTATTTAAAAACTTAATAACAATCAGTTAGTGTAATGTATGCTAAATTATTGCTGTGACAAATCCGGACTAATGATCTGTCTAGGTGTAGGAAACTATAAAGTTGAAATTGGAAATGTATTATTTAGCTAGTTTATAATTATAAGTACAAAAGTGTTTACTTAGAAAATACAGCAATGTAATAAAACACAAGAAACAGCAAGAGAGATTTTGGAAAATAAGACTATTACTGATGGTTTTCTGTTGAAACAGGAGTAACCACACAGATACAATTCAAGAATGGAAAATGTTACTAAAAACTGAGAATGAGAATGATGTTTTTCTCTGTTTCTGTCTGCAGAATGTGCCTACCCTGGGAGTCTCTGCACTGAATTTAGCCAGTCTGCTATGTGATGAGGTCAGCCTGGCAGGCTTCGGCTACAACCTCTCCCAACAGGGGACGCCACTGCACTACTATGACAACCAGCCCATGAGCGCCATGCTGCAGCAGAACATGCACAATGTGGACAGAGAGACTGAACTGTTGAAAAGCCTTGTCAGAGAGGGAACCATCACTGACCTGACGGGGGGTATTCACTGCTCCTTCTGCCCTAGCTGACCTCCACACATCTGAATATAAAGCACTATAAAGCAACTTTTTGTTGTGAAGTGCTTACTTTTGAGCACAAAGTACATCCTGTTTGGAAAAAAAGAAGAGCAACGGCAAAAGCAAAGGATTTACAAACATGACAAGAAAGAAAGAAAAGAAACGGAAAGGGACTGAAATCTGGTCTAATATTTCTATTTTTGGTCACAAAGTGCTTCTTGAAGAACAAAGAACATACATATCATAGTGTATATGTGCAAACACATACATATACTCTATATCTTCACAATTTTTATTAACTTTATTCAATATCAGCATTGCAGATTTCTCCAGATATCCAATGTGTTACAGGTATTTTAAACACCAACAATTATGGACCCCAAATACCACTTTGTCCTCATAGTATTACAGTAAACCATGGAGCTCACCCAGCTCTTATGGCTTTAGTTCTGATGCAATTTGTTAAACAAAATAGTCTCGTTGGTATTTTTTTTATTTATTTCTTCTTTTTACATCTGCAACTTGTTTATTCTGTGATCTTCCAAAATAGCTGTGAAAGATGAAATGTTATTCATAAATTGTTCTTTATTTTTAAATACATGGATTATTTGTGTAATTTTCTATGTAGTTTGTATATAATAATGACATTGCAGATGCACACACATTTGTGTGGTTACTTTTAAAATGTACATGTACTTAGGCTGTATTTCTTGAGCCGAAGCTTTAAATGTCATCCTTTGCGTTCATCATTCCCTGACACCAGGATGGGTTAATTGTAAAACAAATCAGATGTAAAGATTAAAAACAGCAATATACGCAGTTCTAATGTGAATTTTACACTGTTCTCCAAGGAGTTTAAAAGAAATGTCATGAATTAAATCGACACCAGTTTGTCTGTCTGCAGCAGAATGAGATGAACGCACCTACCTGCATGACTCTTATTGAGTTTAGAAGATTTATTTAACAATTTAAATTTATTGTTGTTATTATGAACATGTACATACAATGGAAATGAATACAAAGTGAGTAAGTGATCTTTTTTTTGTTTTGTTTTTTTTTCTATAAAAATTAGGAGTCAAGGATTTAAGTCTCCCAATTTTGTCCATTAATGTACAATAAACCCACAATTCACATCACTGTCAGTTATAGCTGTTGCTGCTGCTGCTGCTGCTGCTGCTGCTGCTGCTGCTGCTGTCATCCAGCAGATCTTGCTATAAAGCTTTACACTGAAGAAGCAGCTTGTACTTGTAACAAGTTTAGAAAAAAAAATTATTACTTCATTACTTAACAAATGCTACCCACTTCTGGCGAAATGGTGAAACTATGGTGAAAACATGAGTAGTCGGTTTATTCTGTAAATTTACCACAAAAAAAATTCATGTATTTTTCAAAGTTTAAAACTGATTGCACACAAGTCAGGGCACGCCTGGTTAAATATTATCGTTTACTTTCCTCTCAGCAACTCCAAACCAGAGACAGATCCGCTTCCTCAGAAACAGCTCAAAAACTTTGAGCAAGTAGTAACTACACTGACCAGACTCTGAGGAGGATTGAAAGACCCTGTCAGTAAAACTGCTGATCAAAAGAACACTGTGGCCTAGATTAGGTGACTGTACAAGAGTTGGACCCTGTCTTGCACTAATATATAAAGTAACTGCTGAAGTTTATACATAGTTTTCATATTGAGCCATAAGTAAATTTAGTCATTAATGAAGCTATCAGTGTCAGATCAGTTGGGAACACTTTAATCTTACTATCGTGTGTTGCAGTCTACGGTCTATATGATGACCGGAAATCAGGCAAGTTTGCCTTCAAATTGTAGTGTAAAAGTATCATAAAATCGTTACACCGTCGAAAGACGATCTGGAAAGACTAAAGTTTTGTTTTTGTTAAGATTATTCAGAAAGAAAGAGTGCACTTGTTTGTTTTTGTGTTTTTACTATTCAGCATTAGGGTTGTGTATTCCGAAGAATGTTATGTATATAGCATGGATTTTATTTTGAAATCTTCAATCCGGAAGTTGTATTTTTAACACTACAATTAAGTGAGCGTGGTCAGCAACAAGAAGCCGGGGAGAACTGCCGCTAACAGGTGGGAGGTTTACAAGTTAGTCATTTTTGGTTTATTAATATTGAACCAAATAATAGTTTTTGTTATGCATGTGAAACAAAATGTACAAATACTACTGAACTGATACTGAGCGAAAGGTCAGGCAGAATTCCATTCAAAGATCGGTCAGTTTAATGGTATCTTGCAAAAACACAGAAGAAAAGTCTGGGACATTTTTATTTTGTCCTACGCACTTGCAACATTAATTAATACATTAAATGGCTGGTTCTTTAAGACCGTACCTTTACTGTTTCTCTCTAGTCTTCAGTCACTACAGTTCACCGTGGAGACTGCACGGCTAACACAGTTGTAATAGTTGACATTTAATTGATACAGGAGTGACTGATGTTACGTGAAAATGGCTCCAGCCAAGTTAACGCATTTTCTATTAATGTGTCCACTTGTTTGTCACTGAGAAAACTTTGAAGGGGGTTTGCCACTAACTTTACGTAGCGTAACGTAACGTAGGTACAGTCACTCATGTCAGACGTGTTTTATTGGAGCGCGTGGAAAGAGGAAGTTTTGAGATGAAAGAATCTGTAGTACAATAATGTTCAATGTCCATCTTAGAGTTTAAAGTCTGTTAGTGAGGTGTTATAGATTAACGACCAGCTCTTCACACACCTGCACTCCGGTGGCTGGTTATTGTGCGTGTATGTGTGTTGTGGTAAGCAGTTATTAGATAAAATAATATTGATTATTTTCAGATACACAGTTATTATGCGTAAGAGACGTCAGGCAAGTGAACACGGAGTGTATAAGATGCCTGTAGGAATCAGGCATGAATGTATGGTGCACACTGCAGGTTTTGAGGTGAAAGGTGACTTGTCTCTGATTGGATGACATTCATGAACCCACCCTACTTTCATTGGTTGGATCCCCCCTCCATTCAACAGCTTTGCCCCACCCCACCCCTTCTCTGTCACTGTGGTGGCTTTAGTAGCAGAGGATTACATACTTCACAACAACCACAGGCGTGCAGAAAACCATGCATTGAATAGTAAAACATGGACAACATAGTTGAAGAATGTTTTGTTGCAATTCATTTTGCAGCAAGTCCATGTTCAGTGTTCCTTTAAAGCATTGCTGTTTGTTTCTCTGGGGATGAATGAGGTAGAAACTTACTTGACCTTCAGTTTGGAGCAGGTCAACCAGTGCATGGGGGAGTACATGCATGGGCTTAACATTGAGTTGTTGAGTCCGCCCACCCGAGCGAGTCTTGAGTGCTGAATGTGGTACTTGTATTTGCTTATTCTCATGTAGTTTCAGTGATGGAAGAAGGATCCAGCAACTTTTTTCTAAAGTAAAAGTACCAGTGTATTAGTAAATACCTGTATTCAAAATCATATATAAGTAAAAATACAGAACTATTATGAGTTAAATGTACTCGATCAAGAACTATTATCAGTAACTGATATACACTCACTGAACACTTTATTAGGAACACCATACTAACGCTGGGTATTTCCTCCTTTTGCTCTCAAACAGCCTCCATTCTTCATGTCATGGATTCAACAAGATGTTGGAAACTTTCCTTTCAGATTCTGCTCCATGTTGACATAATTACATCACATCATTTCTGCATTTCCTTGTCAGCTACACATTCATGCTGCCAATCTTGTGTTAACTACATCCCTAAGCTGTTCTGATAATAATGATAAGACAGATAAGATAATCCCACAGTTAGTCCCACAGTGGGGAAATTTGCAGTGTTACAGCAGCCAAGTGGACAGTACAAAGAAAAGAAAAACTGAAGCATGTCAGTATAAAATACTGAAAAAAGATAAATAATAGATAATAATAATATTATATGTACAATTAGATATTTGAATATCACAAAAATAGCAGCAGAAGAAGGATATTGCACACTTGGTGGCTGTTAATTATTGCACATGGTGAGGTGTCTGACACCAACAATCATGCCACAATCAAAGTCACAGAGATCACTTTTTCCTCTTTCTGATGTTTGATGTGAATATCAACTGAGGCTCCTGGCCTGTATCTGTCTGATTATATTCATTGCCCTGCTGCCACATGATTTGCTGGTGGAAAATTGCAATAAGCAGGTGTACAGGTGTTTCTAATTAAGTAAATATTTAACAATCCAGATGCAAAAGAGTAAAGTGCTTCATTAGCCCCAGAAACCAACTAGTGTTCGTACGCTGGAATACTTCCTTATCTTCAGTTTGTTGTATGTCAATTAATTTATAAAAATATATAACGCATATTTATTTAAGAATATTTACCATGATAGAATTATATTCACTGAAATGTGTTAATTGTGCATATGAC